GCCGAATATAAGTTCCGCAATCATTGTGTAAACGTGCAAAATGGTCGCTGATTTTATTCGTTATTTGTACGACGACGGATTTCTCTCGCTTTCCATTACCATGCTGCATTTTACGATCGTACGTAGTACTTGAATGAAACAAACAAACACTGTTACAATGTTGTCGATTTTTTTAGCCTTGGGAGGGCATGGGTGATATGTGCCTTTGTTATTATCAGTATATTTTTTTATTAAAGAGAGAAGGTAGAAAAATATCATAATTTAAAAAAGAGTAATAATAAATTGACACGTTTTTTTCGATGTTATTGCATCGAAATGTGTATCTGAATTTTGTAAAGACGCAGTGGCAAGCAGAAAATTCTTCGCTAAGAATGAATTCTGAGAACACTAGTGGTGTAAAACAAAGAATATCGTTAACATTTGTACCTCGTAAACATTTGTTCTCATATTAAACATCTTCATTTGAAAAAATTTTCCTTTTCATATTTTTCGATCGATATAAATAAAAATTATATAAAAAAAAATTATTATCTATTAATACATAATATACAAACATATATCCGTTTCTAGCAATGTTGCAACAAATTTTATACATATTTTATTAATAATATTAGGTAGTCAAATATATTAATATGCATATTGAATACTTTCGATTATTCGAATCGAATTAAAGGATAGCATATTTTTAATTTTGCAAATGGATTACCGGACGAGAAATTGATCGAATGTTAACACTTAAGGAAAATTGAAACATTGCATATTTATTAAACATTCAAATATCACAAGGGATGTTAAAAATTTAATATCTATTAGATAGAATATGCATCATATACGTTACTCGCGTATACGTCATACGTAGTTAGAGTGTTCCTCTAATTATCTGAAGCAATGCATCATAAGCAATATCCTCTATTGAAAAGACAGTTTAAGTGACGCACATGCGTATCATGGGGAAAGTATTTCATTATCTGTTCAAAACAAATTACGGATTCTGAGAAGGGCAAACTGAGAAGAGCGCCCGAATCCTCGTAGAAGCGCGAAAGCATATGTGTATGAGAAAGTTTTCAAGAGATTTGAAGTGTTTTTCTCTTGTAGAGTATATTCACAAAACGAATTTCGATCATCGAGCGAACACACAATCTGGAAAGCCGAGATAAAATCAAAAATAAGAAGTACAGCGTGCGAAAGTACTTGGATCCGCATGATATGCATAAATGCAGACAGGATGAAATTGATTTTCGATTCAATTTAAAAATTTGAGATTAGATTAAAGAGAACACACGTGTAATTTGCATGATTGCAGAATGAGACGTGCAAATTCATGTCTCTAAGTGAATTTTTCCGTCGTTTGATTTTCAAGATTTTTGATTTTTATGAAATTTATCTTTTTTGTCTGATATTTTAAATGAAATTTTTTAAATTTGATCTGATGCTTCGGTCGACATTGTATATTTTTTCCAACTTTTTTGAGCAAACTAAAAAATTGCACGTGTTTCTGTCAACGCTCGATTATGTTTCTACTTTTCTAACGGTGCTTGCAAATTGCAAAAGCCCATGCTAACCGTGACGATCGAATGTCGGTACTTTGTGGTAAATCGCATATGTCAAGCCTAATCAACCTTTACTAAAGTGCGATCGACTTTCATGACAGATACACATCGATTGGTTTCGAAAAAAATTCACAACTCTTATGTTATATTGAATATATCTGTTTTTTACATATTTCGATATATCTGCTTTTTAAAATATTAAAATATTTAATTTAAATACTAAGTAATAATTTAAGATGAATTTAATTTAAACATTTAAATTAAGTTAACATTTAAAGTATTAAAAAAGCAGATTATAATGTGTAGATTGAAATGTTTAAAACGGCAGGTAAAGTACTTAAAAAAAATATATAAAAATATATGTTACAATTCAATTATGACATAAGAATTATGAATTTTTTCTATAATCTTCAAAATAAATATATTAATTTCGAATTTTTTCTCAATAGTATATAAATAAAATATACCGAAGTCAAATGAGTAACAATATCTTGTTAAAAATTGCTATATAATGAAAAAAGAACAAGTTTCGAGCTAGAAATTTGCATTTTTTGAATACATTATTTATTTAATTCCAAAAATATATTCTAATCTTAAAAATATATTCTAAGATAATATTTTAATTATCTGCAAATTTATATTTATGTTAATATCATTGCGCGATTCCTGGTATTTTAAATGTGAAACAAATATATTTTAGATTACATTTTTATGTTACTAGATAAGTTTATCTATTGCATTTCAATAGAAAACACCATTATATATGTAATTATTGGTATTTAAAACTATAGCAGGATAAATTATGGTTAGAATAGAAATGCAAAGTCTAAACAAGTGTAAACAAAGTCGTCAATTATTTATGTAAACTATTAGAAACATATTGCAAATTTTCTTTTCTAGCCGATTATATATCTCATTATCTCATATGATATATATCTCATTGTCTCGTGTTAGTTGGATCAAATGTGCGTTTTAGAATTTTACATTACATGCTCGGAATGTTTTAACAAGAAACATGCATCAAAGTATATTAAAAATGATAGGTCTCTGAATATTTTTGGAATAAAAATACGCCTAGAGATATTTAAGGATACGAAATTAATCTAGATGTCTGTGAAGCATCTACAAATTAAAAAAAAACTAAGAGTTCTAATAGCATTTTCATAGTTCTATAGTTTCTGATAAAAATCAAAAAGGATTTCGCATTCCTTATATTAAAAAATTCAAGATCGAAAAGATATGCTAACTTCGCGAATCTAGCACGACATCCTTCCTTCTAAACCAAAACGCGTTGAATATTATTATTTTTCGCAAAAGTTTCCGATAGTTCTATTCAAGTTTAGTGCATACATGCAATTTTAGATCGATATTTCGACAATTAATAATTTTTAAGATCTTCATCCAACACGACATAAAAACATTTAATAAAAATGTGTCGTGTTGATAATTTTCCGCAGTTCTAACGATAGTTTCCGGTAGTTCTATAAGAGTTATGTTTTAGAAACATTTTTATAAAGAGTTCCAACTATTTACTATTTTCTAAACAATTTTTGACAATTATCCAGCACGACAGTCTCATGATTGTTAGTTAGAGCAGGAACCGACAATATTTGTTCTGAAATTATGTCTACAATTTTTTATAAATTGCATTTGGAATTGTTAAACAGACGTGTGTGGGCACAATTCCAAAATAATGTTGCCGGTTCCTTTTCGAATTAAGAGGCTTCACATGAAATTACATAACTGCATAAACATAACATAAGCCCGAATAAATGAGCATTGACATTAAGTCGATAAAATTTACATAACATAACATGAGATCTTCGATCCTCGTTGGTTCACGGTCTTATATTATGTTTATGCATTTATGCAATTTCATGTGCGAGCCCCGACAATCATGCATGAATAGCTTGATGTAAATGTTTAGTTATTATTGGTCCAAATGCGATAAATTTCATATTAAAGTATTATTTGCACCTACCAGAACGCGCTGTTATTATATTATCATTTTGTATATTATCTGTATATTATCATTTTTGGCAAAAGTTCTCGATAGTTCTCTTCAAGTTCAGCTCATATATTCAATGTTAGATCGATATTTCAGCAATTGTACATTTTTAAAGACTTTTTAATATTCTTGCCTAGCACGGACACAATGAAAATGCGTCGTGCTGGTGAGGTTTGCAGCTCTAATGATAGTTTTTGATAGTTCTATAAAAGTTCTATTTATTAAAAACATTTTTATACAGAGTTCGAAATCTGTGAGTGTGTATACATGAATAAAACATTTCTCTTTCAATAAGTGTCGTGCTGGACGTAATTATAAAAAATTGTTTAAAAAATAGTAAACAATCAGAATTCCGCATAAAAATTTTTCTAAAACATATTCTTATAGAACTGTCAAAAATTATCGTTAAAACTGTGGAAAATTATCAGCACGACACATTTTCGTTAAATGTCGTGTTGATCGAGGATATTAAAAATTATTAATTGTTGGAATATCGATCTAAAATTGCACATGAACTGAACTTGAACAAATCTATTGGGAACTTTTGCCAAAAATGGTAATATTCGTTTCCCTTTAGAAGTTTGTTTTGATTTCTATTTTTTAATATAATATAATATATTTCATTTAATACAATATAATATTTAATAATTAGAGACTTGGCTCAAGTAATCAAGAAATCAAAAAGAAAATGTTATAAGAGCCAAGGTGCGGTACGCAGAGAAGCAACAACACTTCTTTCTTTTTTCAATATTAGTTTATTAAAAAACACATTATAATACAAAAAGCGAACGTTTCGGATCACCTTTTGATTCTTCTTCTCATTAAACGAATTTATTCTCGACGTAGGTGACCGTCTTATGTGCCCCTTAAAACTATACAACTTTTGTCTAAAACATTTTTTTCTACAATCAAAATTAAAAAAGTTATGAGGGTCAACTTTTAAAATGGGACACCCTGTATATTACAGATAGTGACGCGTTATATTAAACGAATTTATTTTCGATGTATAGATGACCCTAAATTGCATCCAATTCGAATCGTTCGTCATGATGACGACGTCAGCGGAAGAAGGATCAAAAGATGATTCGAAACATTCGCTTTTTGTTATTATAATGTTTTTTAATAAACTAATATTGAAAAAAGAAAAAAGTATTGTTGCTTCTCTGCGCTCCAACTACCGCGCGTTGGCTCTTATGACAATATAATATAAAGGAACTTTTTTTAATTTTTATTAATAACTGTAGAATTAGGAAGAGTGCTGTCAGAATTTTTAGTATTCTTTTAAAATTCGTAGATTGTTCCACCAGCTTTAGATACGCGCGCTAGAGGTTCGAACACAACCGAACGCGACCGAGTACAATTCGGCGAACGCGGTCGAGCACTGACGGAAATGGCCGAGGAGGCAGCGCCGGCAGCGACAAGTAAAAAGTGCCGCTCGCGGCGAACCACAGTCAGTCGATCGGCGCGCGTCGTGTCATACGGAGGGGGTGTGAGCGTCCCGCACACAGAACGTCAAATCTCAGAGCAACGAACTATCGATCAATCTTACCACGTGTTTATTGCCGGTGATTAATATTTTATTATCTATTTTATTTTCTTCATATACATGTATATACGTTAAATTGTTTATTGGATTTATATATCTGACGATTATTCGTCTCGTTGATATATTTGCGTGCTCCCTTACACATGAGCATTGTTCTGATATATTTAGAAGAATGTTGATGTGTGCGGTGCTAATCTCTCGTTAACGCGAAAGATCATAAAAGGAAAATTCTGAGAAACAAGGAAACGAGGAAAAGCATTTCTAAAAACTGAAACTAATTTTTTGACATCGTCAAATAGCTACTATAACGATACCTGCGTGAAGTTTCATCATTTGTTCACATCATCAATATCAATTTCACAAACATCTATTTTCAAATCGGGTATGTTGAATTTTATTGTGATTATTATTCTATTCTATTTGATATATTTCCTGATTGATATTTATCCGATATTTTCAAACACATCTGTTTTAATCAATATTCTAATATAAATTGTACGTATAATATCGTATATATTATTCGATACATTGTTAAAAATATATTACTCGATACATTACTCGATACATTACTCGATATATTACTCGATACATTATTAAAAAGATATGGTATGAAGGGAAATCAATTTTATTCTTTTAAATTGTTTATTCATTTAAGGTTGTGTTAATATATAAATATATATATATATATATATATATATATATATATAATTAATCATTTAAATGATAATTAAACATTTATTAAAATTAATTTTATTTTGCAAAGCAAAACTATTGCCTATCATCCGATACTTCCAGAAATAAAATTGATATGTTCTTATACCTAAAAATAGAAATTAGAGAGAAATCAGTTTTTATATCAGCAACTTAATGCAGTTTATCTTTAATAATTAAATAAGAAATTTAATCAAATTATGAATTAAACCATATATCCAATAAGAAAAATTCCGTTAAATCAAAACTAAATGAAAATATTCGCATGCGAAGATAATTTTTTTTAGAAAAAGTTTGATGTCGCACCATTCATTTAGATTTCTTAATTTTAATGTTAGATGTAGCTCCAATTAAAATTTAAATGTATGTTACAGTTTTATTTGGACAGTACAAAATTTTTAAGTATCTGTTTTTGCAGCATTTTACGTTGTAACTTTTATAATTAATTTGGATATTTACTTTAAATTGAAATTAGACAATAAAAACATTTTATAAGAAAATGAAAGTATGTAATATGATGAATAATTATATTTAATTTTTCTTTCTTAAGAGATAATTTTAAATTATGTAAAGGATAAATCTTTAATTAAATTAATAAGTAGAAAAGGAGCTTATAATAATAAATATAATAATTAATAATGGAACGACTCTCTTTATCAATTAATAACCATTAATAATACTATTAATAAAAAAATTATGAAAAAATAATGAAAAATGATGACAAAAGATGCTAAAAATTTATCATGGAAAAAAATAAAAGTATGTAGTATGATGAATAATTATATTTAATTTTTTTCTCTTGAGAGATTTTTTAAGTTATATAGTGGATCTTTAATTAATGAATAGAAAAAGAGCTTATAATAATAAAACAACTCCTTTTTTAATTAATACTCATTAATAATACTATTAATAAAAATATGACGGAAAAAGATGCAAAAAATTTATCATGGCATAAGAAACATTTTAATTTTATTTTTTTCTCGAGTATCATCCATTTGTAGTTAAAAACGTCGCTTTCTCGTTAAGATCCAATGATCACTTCTGAAATTATATAACTGATCTAATATACACAAGTCGAAAAAAATGATGTTATTAGCTTTTATAATTACCAAGTTAATCATGAAGGTTTGGAAATTAATTAGACAATTTGCAAAATTAGTATTAATGGAAATTTTACAATTTGTGATGTAACATTCTTTTTGAATTTGTGCAAACAAATAAGTATCTTATAAAAAGATACGTCTCTTTGAGTTCAAGTTTAAAACTTAAATTTTGCGCACAGAAAAAAAGAGCATTTTGAAAATATCTTTAATTCAACATGGAAATCTTAAAATGAGATTGATATTGCATCAATTGAAGAAAACTTGTTTGAATGAAGTCGTTTTATAGCTCAATTAAGAAAAATATATTCTATAAAATTTACATAAATACATATAAAATATAATTTTGAACTATATAAAATGAAGCAAATTTTTATCTTCAGTTGACGCAATACAATCTCATTTCAAGTAAGTTTTCTTCAGCTAACGCAATATCAATCTTATTTTAAAATTTTCATGATGAAATTAAAGATATTTTCAAAACAAAAATGTTCTTTTTTCTGTGCGCCAATCTATTAGAAAAGCTCGCTAAAAGTTTACTGAACATATGCTATTTTAATATATTATCCGCTTCTCTCTTAAACACGCACACACATGTGAGATTCATAGAACTTTCATTACGATCCAAAGATACGCCTTTGAATCACTTATACACATTTCGCATTGCGAGTCGATCTTTAATACATTATTTATTAGCCGCTGTAGCATCAATCAATTTGATATAAGAAAGGAATAGCAGATTCTTCTTCAAATCTTGAAACACATTATATATCGATGAAGAAAGTAAATTTCATTTACTTGATGGTTACTCGGTTCGAGAGAGAAACGTTAGAGTATGGAAAAAATGAACACAACACGAGGAAGCGACGCGACCGAAGTTGTATTAATACGTGAAGAGAAATGAACGTTCCTTGAAGAAATAAAGAAAGTAGCGACACGTCCTCGATGCGTTTGGAAAAATGTAGACACTTTATTTTCAAATGCATAGCATAGTTGACGAAAATCGACAGAGATACAAAATACGAAAAAAGGAGAATGGGATGTGCACAGGATGCCCGAAACACATCGCGCACTTTCTCTCTCGATTGCGATATTGGAAGAAATTAAATTAAAAAGAATGCTAATTTTTTGTCAGAGAATCTTAACCGAGATGTCGATACACAGAAAAAGAAAATATTTTTGTTTTGAAAATTTTTAGTTTCAACAAACATGGAAATCTTGAAATGAGATCGTATTGCGTTAATTAAGAAAAACTTGTTTATATGATTTCATTTTATCTAATTCGATCAAGAAAAACATTGTATACTTATGTAAGAACAAACATATTTTTCTTTGTATATGAAAAAATATATTTTTTTTGTATAATTCTTGAGCTATATAATTGAGACGATTTACATCAGTCAGGTTATTTCTTATTTGCATGATGAAGATATGCTGTTTATGCAATAGATATATATGCTAATGATAGAATAAGATAAATATTTATTATGAACGATAATATTATTTAAAGTAATGAATTATTACAAACGTTGAATAATAGATATTAATGACAATTTTTATAAGAATATTATGTGTGTGACTCGTTTTAAAGTGCGAGAATAATTTCATATTTTGTTACAAAAAAGGAAAAACCTGGATCTTTTTTACCTTTTTACTTTTGAGGAATATTTATCTTTTTTACCTTTTTACTTTTGAGGAATATTTATAAATTATTGTTGCCAATTGTTGGCCAATTTCTTGTTTTTCCTCATAGTTTTTTATGCGTAAGAGTCGAATTTCAATAAATTGTATAATATTATTCAACCGAAAATATTGAAACTCATATATCCATTCAAAAAAATTCCAGACTGATATATTCCTGCATACTTATCGATGCATACGATTCAAGAGCATTACATTTTTCAACGATTGGTGATGTGCGCTGTTTAACCTGGCATGTCCTTCCTACAGTCGAGTGATTTATCGTAAATCATTTGCCATTGTTAGATCGGTACCATTATTCTTTCACAGGTCACTGCCCCTCGCGTATTAAAGAAAATAAAAGAAATATTGCATATGACAATTTCACCAACCGAAATTCTAAAATAAATTTATTAATATAATACATAAATGTGTTAATATACACATATATATTATACACATATATATTAATATACATATTAAATCAAACTGTTATTAACAAAATTTACCATTTTATAAAAGTAAAAAGTTTTCGAGGAAATAGTGTTAATTTAACTCTTACATCGTATTGTTATTTTTAGCACGTTGGAAATGTACAGGGAATTCATTTTTATTTTTTAAAAGTTCAAAAAATTTGAAACAATTCAAACGCCTTTTTTGATCTTTTTCTAAATAAAAGCTAAAATGATAATTTGCAAAATTTGTTTTAGTAATTTTTATTGCAAATATATGAAGCTTAAAGTGCATCGCTATGAAAGCAGAAATGACCCTCGTATAAGAAATAAAGGTTAAAATTAATTTTTTCTTATAAATAAAATAACAATAGTATAATAATATTGTTATTAATATTTAAAATATAATGATGATCATTTTTAGTTGTAAATTTTTTAAATAAAATATTATGGTACATAATTTTAAGAGAATAATTTAGATTATTACCCAAGTATTTTTTTAAGCAATTGCTCAACAATTCATTATGGTGTCCCGCAAATATTTCGTTTCATAAAAGCATTTTCAAAGGGTTTGGAAATTATAATCGAAGGGTTTACTTAAGAGCTCTTGTAAGAATAGGTGTTTATTTAAGATAGCATCTGTTAGAGACAGTAAGAAAATACAGTGTTGGGTATAGAATGCGTAGATATACTTACGAGTACTCGACTCTTGGAAAGTCACCGACCTTGACAGATATTTCAAGTCCCATGCCAGTGAATTAATTTTTTTTTTCTTGAATGCCGATAATATTTACCCTATGCATAAAAAGCTATCCTGTTTTATGAGTATATACAAAGCTTGACCCTAGAACTTGACAATAATTCATCATTAAAAGGGATATCCTATACATGTGTGAAATATTTACAATCTTATTAACTTCGGAAATTTACCTTAATTGACATTTCGACATTTATAAAGCGAAATAAAATCTATTCGATTTTTTTCGAGCAATTTTTTTTAGTAACCAATGTAGCTCGACTAGAAAGCGTAAGAGAAGCAAATTGTTCGAGTATATATTCAGGAGCGGATGGGATGTTGCAATAGCATTAACGCGCAGTGAATTTTTTACAGTCGAACATACATCGGTGAAAGAAGGTAACACCTCGATTATTCAACTTTCGAGAAAAAATCATTTAGCAATAGAACAAAATGTATTTTCGACAAATGAAAATTTTCGCATTATATGATCACGAATTATTTGACAATATTGGATATAGATATTCAGAATTGAGACTGTCAGAACTTTCTTTAAAATAAGCCAAGGTAAAAGTCGATAAGATTGTTTATTTAAAAGTTATGATTTTTTTCGTAGGTGGCACATGTATGTGCTGAGGGTATGAAAGGATTAATCGTCAGAGTATTAATTGGAGATTAAATAATTTGAAATTTGGCTCAAATAATTAAAAATTAAATTGAAATTAGTAAATAAGAATTACAGTGCGGTTTTATTTTTATTTTTCAATGAACGAGTAATCAGAAAGGAAGAAGTGTTGTTTCTCTCCTGCGCTCTAGCTACCTGGCTCGTATTTGCCAATTTCGATTTAATTTATAAATTCGAGAATATCAATCAAAAGTATGTAGTATACTTTATATATTTATATACAGATATTTTCAGTCAAGATTTTTTTTTCATTTTATATCGTTATATTTTCGAACATTTTTCTAAAATAGCATTACGATTGTTGTTTTGTATCTATTTAATATCTCTCATAACAGATAAACGGCAGATTTTTTAGGAAAAACAAAATTATTCTATAAAAGGAAGATATCTCCTAAAATTTTTTTTAGATTTTTTCTGCATAGCTTTTATTTAATTGTACAATTACAATGTTTTTCGTATCAGAGCATGTGTGTATATATATACACACACAACATTCTTTTTATATAAAATTAATTATTTTTTCATAGATAGAATTAATTAAATCACAATGATTAAAGATAAATAAGTTAAATTAAATTAATTAAATTATATTTAATGTAATTCAAATACCAGAACTTATCTTTCGCCACTTGAAATCTTTCATCTTAATCTTTAACTACGCCACTATTAAGTTTTCAATATTAATTCAGTACAGTTTATATTCGAACTTGTTTTATGTGACGAATTTGTTTTACCATGGAAGTGTTTATCAAGCAACGATACGCGATCAAGTTTTGTATAAAATCGGGTAAAATTACTATAGAAACAAAAAAAGCAGTATGAGTTGGAAAAAATTCACTAAGAACTGATATTCTGATTCTAAAAGAATGCTCATTGCTTTTTTTGATGCAAAAGGCATGATCAACACAGAATTTGTTCCAAGGGACAACAATTAATTGAATTTTATAAACCGTGGAAAAGTTGCTTACAAGAATCAGCCATGTGCGACCTGAGACGAAAAGGAATGATAATTGATTTCTGCTCCACGACAACGCCCTGATGCATAACGCTATGATCACTTTTTTAACAGCTAAAAACATGACTGCTTTATTATCTCCTCTCCTTGTCATCTCTCCCAATTTGGCCTCAGCTGACTATTTTCTTTCTCCTTCAAATTTAAACTAAAGTCAACAGGAAACCGATCTGACGAAGCAAATTTTGTAAAGCAGATTCAAAGCAACGAACATTAAAAGACAATTAAATAGCGTTCTAGTTCCGGATTTTTAGAACGCCTTATACAACCTGGAAGAACGCGCCAAGTTCTATGTAGGATTAGAAGAAATATATATTGGAAAATAAATAATAATATTAAAGATATAACGACTTCCTTATTTTTGGTAGAGATAGTCCTAAAACTTTACAGCCAGACCATGTATGTTCACAGTAATTTGAAGATGTCGCATTAAATAATTTCAAAATCTTTAAAATTGAATATTTATAATCTAAATATAAAATGTAAATATAAAATAATCTAAATATAAAATATATATGTACGTATAGGTGATAGAGAGTTAGATAGATAAATAATTGTTAATTCGATAATTATACATACGACATTTATTATATGACATTTGCGAGAAGTGACATAACAATCACTTTCCCCAAACTTTATCATCTTCACGCTACATGTAAATCGCGCATGGTTATGCATATACTTTTCTATTTCGAAAGTATTTTCACAATCAACTTATTTAAATGAATTATTTAAATGAATTATTTTTTAAATAAATATTACATATATAATATTACATATTATAAATATTACATATATATAATTTATGGAATTTTACTGGGATTCAGTCTGAATAAAAGATATTCATTTTACAGCACTTGTAAAAGAAATTGGCCCTTTTAGAATTATATATATATATATATATATATATATATATATATACATATATTTATATATACATATATACATATATATATATATACATATATTTATTTATATTAATAAATATCTTAATATCGCTAGTCGAATAATCAAAGGATTATTGAAAAAATGTAGTCGACTTATATGTAGTCGATTTATATGTTCAATGTCTTAAAAAACTATTTAATATTTAGTATATTTTATATTGTAATTTTTAGTGTATTTTTTATTGTAATTTTTAGTAATAAAAACATGTTATGCAAGTAAACAAAGTTTATTTTATGATAATTTATTCAGATTTAATTTATTCAGATTTTTTTTAATATATTTGCAAATTATTTAATCTACTTGAAACTTAAACGACTCTGTGTTTTTCTGTATAAGTGAAAAACATTAACAAATGCATATAATAAAAAATTTACCAAGAAATTTGTAAGATATTCTTTTTTACCTAGAATTTTAAGTAAAAATATTGAGAATTTTTTTACAAGGTTTGAGTAGACACTTAAAGTATTATAAAAATATGTTGCAGGTTTTGCACGGCAAAACAAAAGGAGACATAATGTTAACGTCTATATTCGAGTTGCACGGCCGGTTCTGCGCCACTCATCCCTTGGAGGTGATCGTGGCGACCTTCACTTTGACTGCATGCATGCTCAACATGGAGACCGGAATTGGACGGGCGAACGAAGAAGGCCTATCCGATGCCATGCATTGTACGCACAACAAATGCAACACCACGGTAAGTATTTCCTAGGTTTCGATCATTCTTGTATCTTCCTTTTATACCAAACTTATTTTTATACTTGATTCGAAATTAATAGAAATATTAAATTATATTGAATATAAGTTGTAGTGTGCATTGATTATATAATTTATAGAGTATATTTATAGAGTATATTAAATATTGTATTAAAAAATTATTAGTTAAAGATATATATTTTTGACGAAGTTGTTAATATAATAATTTTATGTGAACTACTGTTTTTATGATTTTAATAGAGAAAATTTATAATGTATGTGTATGTTATCCAGCAGGACCTAAAAGCAGCAGACATTGTATTGATGACGATAATACGTTGCTTGGCGATACTATTCACTTATTATCATTTCCGCAATTTACAAAGAATGGGATCTAAATACATTTTAGGTAAAGATAAAAATATACTATACTTATATAAAATTCTTCCTATTATTTTCACGTCTATTAAATTATTATTAAAATGAATTAATCTGTAGAATGCTAATAATATGTATACAATTTGTATAATTAAATTTTACATACATCTATATAATTATAAATACGGAGATTTAATTTAAGTGTGTTAACGAACTTTGATTGAACTTTAATTTTTTATTTCTTTAATTATTTCATTTTACAAACGTTCTTTCGTTTATTTTACGCCAGTCAAATTTCCATATGTTAGAGACTGAAATTCGCGAGAGAAAATAACGTAATACAATTATGCATATCAGGATCATTCTTAAACCGGATCTTCCCAAGCAATCCGTGAAAGCCTTCGGCGTTGCGACCAGTGAAAGTCTCGTGGAAAGTGATAGCATACAGTTCTCCGCATCGCGCATTCAATTATTCGAATTCGATTACTGAATTCGCACACGCGAGTTAATACTTAATTGCACATAATTAACGTGATTCCGCGCACGCTAATTTGCTGACGTTTTAATTCGTAACGGAATCGCGCCACAACAATATCCCGCGATAAATAATAAATTTATTAATTTATTATTTTTTTTATTAATTTATATATTAGTAATTTATTTTATAAATAGAGTGTTCGGCAACAAAGGGGTCAAAATTTAAGGAGTGATTCTTTATGATAAACGAATTCTTTATGACGACTTTAATTCTTTATGATAAGACGAAAATTAGAATAAGAAAATTTCGACAGACTTCCTTTTTTTAGTTATAAAGATCAGATAATATTTTTCTTTACACAAGCTTATTGCGCCGGATGTCGTAGATTTTTATATCAGCTGTTATGAGATAAGATTCTACTTATATATCACGGTCATATTTTGACGACTCTATGTAATATGATCATACATAATGCGATCGACGTAACGTATGCTCGAAACCGGAATTATCGTTGAGACACCTTTTATGCGAATTTTCCAATATTTACAACTAAAAAAGGAAGCCTCTATCGAAATTTTCTTATTTTTTATTTTTGCCTTTATCATGAAAAATCTCCTTAAATTTTGTCCCCTTTGTTATCGAACACTCTGTATATATATATATATATATATATATATATATATATATATATATATACATATATATATATATATATGTATGTATGTATATATGTATGTATGTATGTATGTATGTATGTATGTATACATATTATATATTATATAAAAAAATTATTGTGAAATATTTTATTGCAAATATGTCATCAAAATATTTGTAAAATATTTTAATTAAAATATTTTATAATAATCTATTTTTATATTTATATTGAAATATTAGATATATTTGAAATATTTGAAATATTAAATTAATAGAAATCAATTTTCTGTTCTTCCAAAGAAAAACAATTCATTTATTTTGTAGTAATTGTTTCGAATTAGTAGTTTCAATCAAACTAAAAATTAATAAAATTTTCTAATGCGCATGATCGATTCGCTCGCTTCCTACGAGATAACAATAACGTCATGTTTTGCATATGACTCACTCGTCGGAGACATACGTCATATTCAACAGATTTTTCTATTGTAGGTATCGCCGGCCTATTTAGTGTATTTTCTAGCGTGGTATTTACTACCAGCGTGGTAAATTTCAGCCGCAGCGACGTCGCGGATTTGAAGTGAGTATTATCATGTACTTATCATATATATCTCTCTTTACATAAGATAAATATAACGCATCTTCATGATTGTATGCAACATTATTTTTTTTCAGAGACGCCTTATTCTTCTTTCTACTTCTCATTGACCTTTCCAAGGCTGCAACGTTGGCGCAATGCGCACTAAACTCGCGAAATCAAGAAGAAGTTAAAGCGAACATTGCACGTGGTATGTCTTTGCTGGGACCGACCATCACCTTGGACACTCTTGTGGAAACCCTTCTGATTAGTATAGGATCTCTATCAGGTGTCAGGAGATTGGAAATTCTTTGCACCATCGCGTGTCTTGGGGTGATAGTCAACTATATCGTCTTTATGACATTTTATCCGGCATGTTTGTCACTTATATTAGAGGTAAATATAGTTTGATTTGAAGATTTTTCGATTTTAAGAAAGAATTCTCTCTATATATATCGAAATTATATTCTCTTCTTTGTTTGGAATTTTTCTCTAAATCATTCCGTATGTATATACGTACCCCATTTTAAACGCAGAAAACGTAATATTGTAAAATTGAAGAGCTTTATAAAAGAGATTTGTAAACTACTCACTCATTATTCGACAAAAATCCAATGAACTACGCTCATTATTCGACAAAAATCCAATGAAATGAAAAATAATTGCAAAATATATATTAATATAAATGTTAATTTTTATAATTAAATCAAAATTTATTTAAGCCAAATTCCTAACTATTAATTTTAATTTTTATATACAATAAATTTTCCTGATATTCAAAATTTTAACAAATATCAAGTTTATATATTTAAATATAAAAATTTACAAAAAGATTTAGATTAAAAGTATTATTAAGGTTTGAAAAAAGATTTCAAAATCAGATCAAAGGCAAATTATCCGAAATTATACAAACGATAGAAACTATTTTGTCTCACATATGAAAAAGGACATCTCATTTTTTTTCTTTTTGCTCTTATAGCTTTCTCGAAATAACAATATGGGCCGACTGGGCGCAGACAGGATATTCATAATGCAGTCGTTAAACGAAGAAGATCAGAAGCCGAATCCCGTAGTGGAACGAGTCAAGATGATCATGATAGGTGGTCTATTTATAGTGCACGCCAATAGGTACATTTATACATTATATCTGACTAAAATGAAATGCAATGAATGATTTTTTTCAATCCTCAATGCACGAGCTTTAAAAACTTTAAAAAGGCGACTGTGTATATACAACAATGTAATGTCGTATATATATATATGTATATATACACTCGGCGAAGCAGGAAACCGTGGCAGAAGAAGCTATCATAAAATCTGACCCCATTTCTTTTTTATGTTTGCGTTGCTTTTGTCGCGTTTGTAATGGTTAATTTGGACTTTGGGGGTCAGGTTCATCTGCTACGTTAGCATACATATACATCTCTATTCAATGAAAAGTCTATTTCAATGAAACTTTCCGTGGGTGGATCTTATCCAAAGTTTGAACGTCTTCAAAGAGTTGTCGGTATGAATAAAATGTGAGCTTGCTTACCCGGAAATGTCACAAATACTTTCATCTGTTTTCTCGTTAAATTTTAAATGAATATTTGTGTGGAGATACAATGAAATCAATAGCACCGACATATGAGTATTATTATTTATCATGTTTTTGGGCAAAAGGGCATTTGTTAAATTCTTTGTTTGGTGCCAACGAAATTGTAAACATAAGACTTATAAAAATTGCGTTGAAAGAATAAAATCTCATATTTTCGTATGTACTAATTATATTATATTATATGTGTATAATTATATGTGTACTAATACAATTCTAATTTCTTGCAATTCTACATTTTTTGCACCGGCACAAAAAGAAAAAAATAAGTCTGTTTATTTTTCATAATAATTGTACTTTTTCATAATAATTATACTTTTTATAATAATGATACTTTTTATGCGGTACAATAATATTTTACATAATTAATTATGCAATCTATTTTTCTAAATGTTGTAGCAAATGTTACAATACATATACAAATGGTACAAATGTTACGCTGTCATATGCAGTGTGTATGAATGATGACGTGTTTATGCATTTTAATATTTCATGAATGTTAATAATAAAAAGATGTATACATAAGATCGACAAGCGTCTATACAAAGTAAAATGAGAGTCCAAAAATAAGTGGTACTGTGGAGAAGAAGTGATGAATGCTTTACGTTTCTTTCCGTTATTATTCGTCAGATTGATATTTTAGTTTAAGAAAAGACGTTGTTGTGATCACTTCGTGTTGATTTCAATTAAAAAATAGTTGTTTTTATTTATTTACTATAATTAATTAATAATGTGATTAACATAATGTAATTACTAATCGTGGTACATATAAAATAGTTTTTATCTCAAATTTTTAATAATTTTAATTACAAATATTTACAATATCATCTATATAATTTTAATTGTCATTTCTTTAGAATTTTATTTACAATTTTCATATTGGATGGACAAAAATAATATAGGAATATATAATGGTAAATTTCTACATTTTCGTAACTAACTATGCATTAAATGACATGATCATGCAATTTTGTTATTTTATTTTATGAAAAGAATTTTATAAAAAGAATTTATTTTTTTATATATGTGATTATATATATATATATATATATATATATATATATATATATAATTATTTAAATTGAATTATGTACTAATTAATATATCTTGTTACTATCTTGTGTTACAGCCGCTGGTCTCTTAAGGCTGAGAAAGGTGAATACATGGCGGAAATGACGACGACATCCGCAAATTCAAATGTGTTAAACGGTTCCGATCATAACGAAAACTCCACAGAAGATGAATCTCTGATGAGTTGGTTGTTGCCCAGTGCAGAATACGTTGTGATATTAATTCTGTTACTGGCGCTGACCATAAAGTTCATCTTTTGCGAAGATAGAAGCGACATAGTTGCTAGACGATTAAGATTCCAGGAGGAAGAAACAGAAGGGACAGCGGAAGAAAGAGAAATTCATGATGGCTCTAACAGTCCAGATACTACAACTATGAACATGTCGCTGCAACAACGATTCGGCATTCCAACGCTATCGACGATCCAACAGCCGATCTTTCCTTTATCTGGCGTGGGCGGCGGATGGATCGAGGTCGACAACGATACCAATGTCGAATGTATTGACAGGGAGGTGCAAACTGATATGACGTATCACGACGAGTCGATTGACGAGAAAGATTTATTACTGCAAAGATTTAAAGTTCCTAGAAGTATAGAAGACTGTCTCGAAATATATAAGTCTGAGGTAAGAGAATAATATTTTTATATTCTCTCATATTATTATTATTATATCATATAATTCTGTAATGCTGACTGAATGCACTATTTTGCTGGGGAAAAAAAGATGAGTAATAAAAATTAATTAAAAGGCTTCAAGGACCAACGCAATGGTGAAATATATACAAAAATAGAACGGTTATTTTAATTTAATAAACCATATGAAAATGTTTATTTAATTTAAACACCAACAATTTTGTTTGAATTATCCATTATTTTGCATATTTTTGCTTCCGACTTTTTTAACTTTTTAATTACCATTTATTTTGGTTTGCGTTTTTTCGAATCTTATTTACATTTTACCAATTACTGTTAATTTTATTTTTATTTTTATGTTTATTACTCACTTTGTTATTCGACATTGAAAAGGATTCGAATTGGATTGAAACGCAGCGTTTGTGGTGTTTAAATTAAATAAACATTTTCATATTTATTAAATTGAAATAATTTAATAAATATGAAAATGTTTATTTAATTTAAACACCACAAACGCTGCGTTCTATTTTTGCATATATTTCACTATTGCGTTGATCCTTGAAGCCTTTTAATTAATTTTTATTGATTTTATCTAACAGGCCTTTATTTCATTATAATAAATATAAGCAACTCAAAATGTTAAAAGTAGTTTGCAGTGCATCTTCATTTACTTATTCATTACAGATCAAATTTATTATTCATTTCAACGTTTTCACGTTTTCATTTGCAGCTCGGAGCTAACGCGTTAACGGACGAAGAGGTGATACAACTAGTAAAACACAAGCACATAGCTGCGTATCAGTTGGAAAAAGCAGTAGGAGACATGGAACGCGGTGTTGGCATCAGACGTCTTATTATAAACGCCGCCGGCAAGTTCACCAAAGAGATGGACGATTTGCCATACAAGAATTACGATTATAATAAAGTACTGGGTTCTTGTTGTGAGAACGTAATCGGTTATTTGCCGGTGCCAGTTGGTATCGCCGGGCCATTACTGATAGATGGTCAACTATATTATGTCCCGATGGCTACGACTGAGGGTTGTCTAGTAGCATCCACGAATCGTGGTAGCCGCGCACTCATCAAATGCGGCGTGACCAGTCGCATAGTTGCTGATGGCATGACGCGCGGACCGGTGGTGCGATTCCCAAACATTGTACGCGCAAGTGAAGCGATGATATGGATGCAACAATCAGAGAACTTTCAGGAGATGAAGAGGAGCTTTGATCAGACCAGTCGCTTCGCTCGTTTGACGAAGATCCATGTGCTAATTGCGGGCCGACATTTGTTTATACGTTTTGTCGCTAAAACTGGTGATGCAATGGGTATGAACATGTTGTCAAAAGGTACAGAGAAATCCTTGCATACGGTGCAGACTTACTTTCCGGACATGGAGATAGTCTCCCTCAGCGGGAACTTTTGCACGGACAAGAAACCCGCAGCTGTAAATTGGATAGAAGGTAGAGGCAAAAGTGTGGTATGCGAAGCGACCGTACCCGCGGATATCGTGACTAAGGTGTTAAAAACGTCGGTGCATTCAATGGTCGACGTCAACATCAGCAAAAATATGATCGGCTCTGCCATGGCAGGTAGTATAGGCGGTTTCAACGCTCATGCCGCTAATGTCGTTACCGCGATCTTTATCGCTACCGGGCAAGATCCTGCACAGACTGTTGGTAGCAGTAACTGCATGACGTTGATGGAACCGTCGGGTCCCGAGGGTCAAGATCTGTACGTATCCTGCACGATGCCCAGCATAGAGATCGGCACGGTGGGCGGTGGTACTGGTCTGCCAGCACAAGGCGCATGTTTAGCGATGTTGGGAGTAAAAGGCGCGCATCTTGAGGAACCTGGTGAGAATGCCAGCAAACTCGCCCGAATCATTTGCGCTACTGTACTAGCTGGCGAGTTATCCTTAATAGCCGCATTAGCAGCTGGACAATTGGTCAAGAGCCATTTAAAGCATAACAGGTATGTAGTTTATAGAATATAGGAATTGAAATGCGGTATAGCCGATTTTTGCCGGCAAAGCCGATTACTATTACCGATTATGATTATCTACCCGAGATATTATGTAGGGTGTTTCATAAGTGGGCAAAATTTCAGGAATGGATTCCTCATGCTTAGAGAATAAAAAAAAGTTAATCAACATAGGTCCGGGAATGTTTTATTGTTAAATGTTTAATTAGTTTTTGAGTTATTAAGATTATTGTAATACAAAATTTTGTCTCATTTCTCGTCTTAGAAGTCTTTTTACAGGCGTCAACAATGTTTTTCAAATTCGACAACATTAATAGAGAAGTTTAATACAAAAGTTAGATGATAAAATGAACTATTGGATTTTGAACGCAACTATAGGTTAATTTATTAGTGAAATACTAAATATATGCCCTTCCTTTTCTTTTTATCTGTTGTAAATATAGAATTATTACTAATTTCTTCAAATCTTGTTTCGCAAATGAGTTGCATATTTTCCTCTGTTTCCAGGTCAAACATACAAGTTAATGACTCGATAACTACAACTCACAGTAATAATAACGATGTAAAATCCTCGGTGACTACAACTCACAGAAATGACAACGGTGTAAGATTAACTGTGCCAAGTGTTTTATCATCGTCGCAAGATCTTTGCACTGACTTCGCCCATAAATCTTAACGTTAAGTAGACTGTGTGTTCCCGTAATTTCAAACTAAAACAAACTATGATCCGCGCATTGTTTCGCATCTGCCTCATTAGTATCCCAAAGAAATTATTTAAGAATGCATGTTCTGCTGTACACGATAAGATGTAGGTCGAACTATAATAGATATTATAATATGTATATATACATATATACATATGCATATATACATATTGTAATATCTATTATATTACATACATATACAATATATATATATATATATATATATATATATATATATATATATGTATATATATGTATATATATGTGTGTGTGTATGTATGTATGTATGTATGTATGTACGTATGTATGTACGTATGTATGTATGTACGTATGTATGTATATATGTATGTTTGTATGTATGTTTATGTGTGAAAAGAGAAATGTCAGTGTTCCGATAAAGATGATCAACTCTAAATGATTTAATGTAAATAATAATCTTCTAATTATATTTCGAAATCTCCAGTGAATTCAAAATTCAAAATTTAATCATGAATAAAATATACAATTTGAAAAACCGATCGTAAAAGCTAAAAGAGATATATATATATAGAAAAATCAATTATATAAAAAAATTGCATATATTTATTATTTTTATATTATAATAATGCTTCAATTGAAATTTTCAAATCATTCATTTCATTGTATATAATGTAGGATCCCAAACGAGATCATATTTATCTTGATAGACTTCAAAGATTTGTACAATAACGATAACATATTTTCCAAGCTGTTTTGGGTCTCGATTAAAAGTTACGTAAATCGTCTATCTTCAGACTTTTCTTGAATTATTATTTCGACTTTTACTTGAAGAACCAAACATGCTCAGTTATATTCACTTATATTGCGATAATGAATAGCAAGACAAAGAGAATAAGAGAATTAAATAAAATTTAATTCAAATACTAACCTTTGATATAACGTCGCAAGTATCGCTTAAGTAATGTCTTCTGAAAAGTAGCATAGAATTTTGATTAATAAAGTTAATAGAGGAAATATAAAATATAAAAAAAAATTCAAATACATGAGAGAAAATTGAAAAACTGGAAATAGATATAATTAGATAGAATTAGATAGAATTGTTAGATAAGTTATGCGTAATTATTATATTTTTATGCGTGTAAAGATGTGCATAAGTAAAGATGTAACGCGCGCGACTGTTTCAAGAAAATAAAGATCTAAAGTCGATATGTACGAAATAATGGTTTTTATGCAATCATTAAAACTAATAAAGTAGAAATGCGCTGAAAAGAACTGAATCTGTAGGCTTCTTACTTTAAATACCTCGTAAATTTAATTATTGTGTTTAATATATGTGTTATGTTATACACCGAATGTTATCAAATACTTAATTAAGAATTATATGTTCAATTATATAATTTATATGATAGATAAATATATATATATATATATATATATATATATATATATATATATATATATGATAATATATATGATAGACAAGATAAATACAATTTTCGAAACGATATCTTCTTTTTTATTAATTTTTCATTAGAACCTATAAGCTTCCAAGATGTACATAATCATTAAATCTTTGTTATGAAAGGTCATTGCTTTGTATTAAAAAGAGATCTATTTAAAATCTACTCCTAAGATTTAATTTTAAGATTTCACACTTTGTATTATAATATTAACATAAAAAAATGACAAATATGTGTCGAAAATCATTTGTAAAACAAGAAGAAATTAATCATATACAATAATTATGAATAAACTTTAAACATAGTGTACAATAAAGAAGCTATTATGAATACGAAGACTTCTATACATAAACTTCTATATATTATCTTCTATACACAGACTTCTATATATTATAAATAATATTATAGATAATATACAAAAATCTGTGTACAATAAGATTTATTTTTTGTGTATCAAAAAAATTATCGAATTTTGTTTGAATATGATATTGTTTTATTAATAAATGATATTTTATATAACAAATCATATAAAACTTTTTAAATTAATTTAGAATATTCTACTATATTGTTGTATCCATTTGCGATGTAATTTTAAAGAAATTCGTTCTTTACTTTAAGTTTAAAAAAAAAGAAAAAATAAATTATATATATATATATATATATATATATATATATATATATATATATATATTGGAATCTTCAAAAAAATATATATTACAAATTTTCAAAAGCCAGAAGGATATAACTATCGCTTTGTATAAGAAAAGATTCTTTAATTAAAAGATCCTAATTAATATCATAATGTTCTTTATTTCTTGTTTTATGTGCAATATTACTAACTCTGTATTTTCTCAATCAACATTTTTCAAATGTTTGACCAGATTTCTAACAACTTGACCCATTTTCTGATTTATTGTAACTCGTTATACTTTATAATAATCATAATTTATAATATTTTATCGGGATAGTACATAAAAATTAATTATTTAATGCTCTAATTTATTACTTTTTGGTTTCGATATTGAAATCTTACAAATTATACATCAACTTACTCATTGAAGAAAAAAACAAGTAAAATTGTGTTTAATAAATATATAGAAAATGTTTAAATGTAAGAAAATTATATATTTTACTTTCATTTATAGTAATGTTGAATGTTTTTTTTTCCTATTTTATACAAAATCATTACAAAATAACTTATTTAATATATATTGTAATTTGTGAAAAAAATTGATTGTTCGTTGGAAAACTAATTTAAAAATTTGATGAATATGCATAGGTGACTTGATGAAGTGTAAAAAAAATTAACTTGAAAAATATTAATTATCTTGATGTTCATAAAGCATGTAATAAAAATTCTTAATGGTAAAAAAAAACATAATTGTATGTAAGATAAACTGCTTTATTGAACTTTATTTTGTAAAATAAGAAATGTATGAATCAAATATTCCTCAATAAGATATAAATATCACATGCACAGCCGTAAACAAGTTTTCGAAAGAAAAATTGATTTTGAGAGACTTATTCTATAAGTTCGTATTCGAAAAATGATATCTTTGTATAAATTGATTAAATATACATTAATTCGCAAACTCTCTATAGCGTACAATATTCGAATGTTCACATTTTTTCGTATGTTTCTTCATAACCGCACGTTGTACAAGTATGTGTATACGTATCATCCTCTTCATTGTATGTATCCTCCCCAAACTTATGAGTATGAGATGCTTTTGTCGTCTTATCGTATAATGAGCTTCTCACTTGCATTCGCAGCTGCTTGATCTTTATTTCCATGAAAGATAAACCTTTTTTTAGCATAAAAAGATGTAATATACATTAAAATCTCATAATCCATAAGGATAAGGTACCTTTTTGTTGAATTTTTTAATCTTGGCTCCCTCCCGTTTTATATCGCGGATTTCTTTTTCTTTTAGCAGGTTCTCTTCTGAACCCCAGACTTCTAAAGCCCTTTGCTCTATTTGCAAATGAAGATACAACTTCATCTCGCCCCAATTCACATTGTGAGGATTCTTTCGTATGATATATTTCAGCACTGGCTCTCGCTTATCGAGATCACAATCCTTCAGTAAGTACTCTTGTTTAGCTTCTGTCTTGGTTATTAAAGAATGCTTTCCCTCTTTATCTCTAGAACAATGATATAATAATTACGATTTTTGGGGATTATTAATAGATATGCAGAAAAAGTAGTTATGATTTAAGAGAATTATTTATCTCCGTCTCTCTTAAATATTCTCTATTATCTTACCTGCAATTATCACAAACAGCCAGATCAAACGTTTGCAAAAGATACGAATCCCCAAATTTTTGTTGACATTCTTCACACTCGTTAAATTTACCAATAACAGGTTCTGGCTCGGTTCTAATTTTTAGCTAATTAAATATGCAATATTATAAGCACTACAAGAATGATGTATGATCATGTACAAAGATATACATATTTATATAATGTAAATACCAATTGTTGTTCCAATTCATCATTTTCTTCTATCAGGAAACCTCCACCGCTATCAATAACACGCTGCCCTTGAACTTTTAGTAATCTTCCTTTTATAGACTCACTATTTTCTCTATAGCAACCATGTTACTAATTACCATGTAATTAATTACAATAAGAATATTGTTCAAACATACTTTTTTGAAGATAATAAATTAATTTTATATAAAATTTTTATAAAGAACTTGTTGAAAAAGAAAAACGGTTCTATTATACTATCATATGATAATTCTGTCATATGTTTGATGTATATTACCTTGCATATGGATGAGTTACGATTTTAGATTTTTTTAACAAAAGTGCTCTCTGACGATTCCTTTCAGCTCGTTCTTTAAGTTGTACTTCCATATCTGTGCTACCATTTTTAGTTGAATTATTTTCTATACTTACAGCTGTTGAGCTAGCCATTCTCTAAAATATTAAATTTGCATGCATATATTAGTTATATATATCTTAAAAGATTTTATTTTGAAATAATAAATATATGCATAAGTACAGTAATTTTTCAACATCAAAAATATTCAAGAATATTATATTTCATATTGACACATGTAAATGATGAATAAATATTTCTTAAATAAATGAACAGGTTAACACATCCTTTCTAAATAAAACTTTTAATATGTAAATAATCCACAATTTCAATATGTAAATCATAATCAGAAAAAACATCATGTATAACAATTATTTCGCATACTTAAAACTTTTTTTAAATTAAAGAATACATTTAGTTTAAAAAATTTAGTTACTTATTTAGTCAAAGATATGCAACATATGTATCTGTATGTATTTTTGTATGTTTTTTTAAATGTTTCCAATCAATAACGATTATCTCGTATGTTAGCATTTAAAAACTTTATGTCATAATAGGGAAAAAATAACTATGCATAATTCGGAGTAAAAAAATCTGAAAGTACATTTCAAACAACCTTGTTCGTTCTTAACGTGAAAACATACAATTTTAAGCGAGCGCTTTTGTTCTCCCTAACCAATTTTACGCAATCTGCTTTGCTTTTTGTACATCTGTATTAATAACGAGATTTTTACTCACCAGCTTTGAATTTAAAAATAAATAAAAACCTATGTGCAATGAGAAAGAAGCTGCCAAAGAGTTTTAGTTTGTCTGTAACAAAAATATCGATGTAAACTTTCCGCTAAGCAGAGGTCTCGGACATTTTTGTATTAATTCGTGTTTGTTTGCTATTGAAAATATACTAGAGCGACGAATTTAAGTGTAGAAGGTGTAAACATCACGAATAGATCTTTAGTTATCGACTAGAGAGGTATCTTCACTTGCACTTTATGCACTTGAAATACACGTACTAGTTGACATTAGACATCTGTTGATAAATGACGAAGATATAAATCAAAATTAAAAAAGAATTAAAAAAGAATTTGTTTTATTTATAGAAATTTAAAAACTATTTCGTTAAAAAACATTGAATTACAGCATGTTATTTTTTTGAAAAAAATTTTAAACTTTTAAAGTTTTTTTACATAAATAGCATCTTTAGAGAAATTGTAGGTTTTTTTAGTAGCTCTCTATCTATTATTTAAAATTAATACTAATTTATTGTCTGTCGATATATGTATTAACAAGCTAAATTATTCTCCATTAATTTTTAATTATCTTTGAATGTTTGTTCAAATATTTTGATTAATAATCGAATTCAAATTCATATGGAAAAAATACGCGTAATATGGTTAAAATAAAGCATAAAACGCATATTTATTACAATTAATAACTTATTCTTTCTCTATTGCCAAGACTTAAAACCGTATATTACAATATCGATCAAAAGTTTAATTTGAAATAATAGCTTCTTACATCTACATTGCAGAGTCACATACTCACAATCAAGAGTTGAATAAATTTACTCAGACTCTATATACATGATGTTAAACAATCATTGTCAAATTTCCGTTGCATTGATATTTCGAATACTATAACTGTATTTGTGAATATTCGATTTTGTATCGATATTTTGAACATTCACGTATACAATTATTTACAAAATGCATGCTGTGTCACAGACTAGATAGATTGCTCTTAAAAAGAGAGACACACATTATATAAAGAATTTATATGATTTGTGAAATTATTCTATAAAAATACCACATTAGCAGTGTTCATAAACTATTCGATTAATAGAAAAACATCGCGTGAAATAAAAAATAGATACAAACGGTGTGATAAGCTAATATATATATATATATATCTTTCAAATAATATCTAGAAGATATATAAAATTATAAAATATATCAATTTCTCTTATTCTATTCATCGTAAATAACACTTGTGCTCGCAGAATCGCGAAGAGGAAACAATTTGAATTGCCTCATTTTGATGGAAAAATAAAACTTATCATATAAACTTCTATATCTCACATATTATATGTATATATTTTGCGTATTAAAGTGTATTGACGACCACGGAAATAATCTGGAAATATAAAAGAATACTTTTAATTATTTGTCATGATGATAAAATACTATCCCCGCATTCTGAACACGTGCTGGCAATTAATTGCACGTTTTAATGCGCGTTTTCTTCTGAATTTTGGCGATGTTACAGAAGGACGCGCCGACGATGAAAGTAATTCCTTCAATTTTTCTTGCCATAAAATTTCCGATTTAATAAATACAAGAGTAGGTTTACGTTGACTTTCGCTCTGCCAAACATATCCATGCAGGAGCGACCCTCGTATTGCAACTCGAGCAATTCTTGTATACTAATGTCGAGCTTTTCCATCTCAACCCCCATAAACTTGCAGCGCACAGAGAAAACGCCGTTGCGCTCTGTCGGGCTTATCTCAAATATTACGTTTTTCATTTCCGTTGGACTCAGTGTCTGATCGATTTCCATCAGCACGCCCTTCTCTTGCAGCTTCCAGGCAGAATACTTGACCATCATTTTGGTTCGCAGTTTGCTCAAAGTATGAGTATCCTTCTGCATCGCTCGATATGCGCGAAGTGAACTCTTCCCTCTGTGCAGATTCTGAAGGCAACCTCTTATGTACTCGTTATAGAATTCGACTTGCTCCTGATAATATCTCGTCTTCTCATCCAATCGCATCTTGGTTGCGCGCAGCGTCTGCAATTCCTTGTCTCTTGCGACGCGATACTTGTTCTTGTTGCAAATATCCCTCGCTATCGCGGTCACGATTGTTTGATAACCGTCCGCGCGAGTTACCCATCCTTCTAGCTCGAGTTTGTTGAGATATGCACGCAATTGCATCTTGCAATCATTTATAGACGAACTCTCACGAAATGTCGCCGACATGGATGAATGATCGAATCTCGCGCACATTGGAGAAGAAGTGATCTCCAAAGATTCTATCAGAGTTGATTTTTTTAAAAATGAAATAACCGAGACGAGCAACTCTTTTGTCTTCACGAAGAGATTGTTCAGATTCGTGTCGTCATTTCGTGGTACTTGAAATTTATTCGTCAATACCAGGCATACTTCTTGCTTACTATATCGCGCTAAATTTGTCTCGTACACTGCATTAGATATTCCTAGTAACGATGCTACAGTCGGTACCGGACCAAGATCATCCAACAAATCGTGCAAAGAATCGGATGGATCCGGCGCTATCATGTCTTCGTATCTCAACATCAAGGCGTGTATTTCGCATATTTCCTGCAAAGATACGCATATCTCTGGACTTTGTATAAGTGTGGCCTCCGTATATTCATGAATGTTGAAGTGGTCCTCGAGATCCTCCACTTGACAACAATATCGAAAGAAGTCTTTAAATTTTTCATGGCAGGCAATTATAAAGGGGTTCAAACATTCCAAGTGCGGTGCCTCCTCACCGAAACCCTTCTTCGAAGTGGAGAATTGCAATACCTTAGCTATACTGGCTAGATTCTTCCTTTGGCAGGAGGACAAGGATCTATCAACCGGCAACGTAACGATATCGAAGGTATCCGGCGCTACAATTGCAGCATTAATGAAATGGTAATAAATCAAATTACCAACAGCCTTCAAGATATCTTTTTCGGGAGCAAACGGAAACTTCTCCATCAGTGAACCGTAGAGGATCTTTGATACATATAACATCCCATAAGGGATCAAATCACGGGACTTTGTTATTCTGTTGAGAAACTCGAGAGAGATCTTTTTCAATTGATTTATCGCTCTTGTGAGCAATTCCTGGACCGGGATATGTTTCAGCGCCTGCTCCTGAGACACCGTGTGAGGCATATCCAGAGACTTGCCAGACTCCATTTCCAGCTGATTTCGCCAGAGTTTGTATATATCTACTGGATTTGTCTCCATACATAAATCCTTTTCCTCCAAAACCTTCTCGATCAATGGACCAACAATTTGCTTCAATGATGCCTGACCATTAAACTGTTTCGCATAGTTAACCACCATCTCGCGAACCAGCGGCTTGCCAGTCAATACGTCGGAAGGCTGATGACAATTGCACTTGATTTCCTCCTTCAATGCATAACCGAAGAGTTTCAATAACAAATAGTCTTCTCTTGTGTTCGACCCAAAATTAAATAGTGTCCAAATAATGTTCTTCAAGAATAATTTGTTGGATTTGTTACTAGGCGGTAAATATAACAGCTTGGACAAATATTGCGGATTTGTTTGCAATGCATAAAACAGATGTTGATAACCCTCCAACATCTTACGACCTTCTTTCGTTAACGATTTAAGACCCTTCTGTGGTGTTGCGGCGGGATCGCATGTGTTTTGATTTTTGTTCACGTTTTGTTCTTTCGCAAGAGTATCCAGACTCTTTCCATGCGCTACTACATCCTACATAAATATATGGAAGATGTTTTAGTTAAAATTCTGATTATATAATTGATTAAATGGACCTGATTCTGGAGGAAATATACCTGTAATGCTATTCTGTTCTGTATTAATAATCCTATTTTAATATACATGTTATTCAAATGCTCTGATAAATTCTGATTGTGCCTTATACATTGAACGACCTCGTGTTTCAATTTCTAAAACAAACAGTCATGAAAGCAAATTTAATACAGTAATATGTATAATTAATGTGAAAATATACTTGTAATTCTAGATCCTTGTCGTAATCCTCTGCACTGAAACCTAATACTGTCGAAAAATGCCTGACTACAGGAAATGACGGTTTCTCTGAGCGCAGTAACGAGTGAAAAGCTTTTCTGGATGCTCGGCCACGCCATAAAGCTTGTATCTTTATTATTTTGTCTTCCTATAATTTAAAAGCATTTTATAAAAATAAATTGTAATTTATGATAACAAATGCAATTTATTAAAATACTTGGTCAAAAATTAAATTCTAAGAAAAGTCTGTGTTTCTATATTGAATGTGGTTATATACCTGTTTCTTATATCGATTTAATTTATCATTTTTATTATTTTCTTTAATATTTGATAACTTATTCTGATGTAATTTATTATTTTTATGATTCGTTTTTGCACTTAATAATTGATTGTGATGTAATGCATTTAATTCTTTTTCTTTCAGCAATTTATGATATTGTTTACGTTGTCTGATGCCTCTCCACCATGCTTGTATCATGATTATACTTCTTATATTATCATTAATATAAGCATATCTGTCAACAATCTTTTTACGTAATAAATATCCTCTAATCCCAGCTTGAAGTCTAATAAATAATTTTTCATCATATGCCGTATAATTTTTCTGACCTGTTTCCATTATAATAGATTCAATTGTTTCCTATAAGCATAAAACGGAGGATTATTAGCGATGTATATTTTTAATTAAGCATAAAACTCAGAAAGAACACATACATACATTTATGTCATTTATGGTGAGATGATGAATTTTCTTAATATCTGCAGGATAATAACATGCATAATTTTTATCTTTCAAGATTTCATTTTTCTCGTTGGTCGTGTATGGACAATTATACATATTGTGCTATGATTAAAATATATTTAGTAGTATTATAATTATGTATTAAAATATATATTGTATTTTCTATAAAAAAAAAGTATCCTATACCTTCCGCTTTTGTAATTGTTGCAATGCTAGAAAACATCTCTTTTGATATTCTTTGGAAAGATCTTTAAAATTTTTAATCCCATCAAAATTTTTGCAGCACTCAAGAGCTTCAGTCATATTATCGTCTTGTACATAAGTGTTGATATTGTACAGAAATTTAGTCACTATAAATATATATAATCAAATAAATTAAAATAATGTCTATCTATTACATGATAAATTTAGTAATCGACGATTGTGATCGATTTCGACGTACTGTTTTCGATTTGTTCCATTTCTGATGCAACTGTCTTTGCTACAGTTTCAATATCATCCAACCATAATTCAGATCCATCAGATTTCTTTTCAATTAAACGTTTCTTCAACCTATTCAAACAAAGAAAAGGATCGTGCGAAAATTTGGGTATATTACACTTATCGGTTATCATTTCCAAGGCTCTCATCATGGTCTCATGATCGTTTGCTGCTACAGCTTGATTTATCTGCTGTAAAATCTTTATAACTGTTCAAAGAAAGTTATATTAATTTCTATTAATATATAAAAATGTTGTCGCATATATATCATTAGTGCAATATTTTTATTGTACCTTCGAAATCCTCGTCGCATTCTGTATTCACTGAATAGATACATTGTTGAATATCGCTATATGTTAATAAAGAACATTCTTGGAACGTCTTAAGCTTTACCTGCCGAAGCGTCGCTAGTGTCTGAGCATATTTTATCTTATTAAATTCGTCCAATCCCTGTGACATTATAGTACTATGTTAAAATATAGCTTGTTTCAATATATATTAGTAAAGATAATAATAGTTTTATGTATACTTACAGGCAAATATACATCAGGATTCGACAGCTTCTCATACACGAAATCTGGATTTTCCATGTCTACTGCTTTGGTAATAGCAGCTATAAGGGGTAGCAAACGTACACTAGTCACTATGTCATTATAAGTGAGATCAGTCTGTCAGAAACAAAATCGTTATTATTAGTGGAAAATTTAATTGCCATCACAGTATAAATAAAAAAATAATAGTATTTATTTATATTGTTGAATTTTGAGAAAAATGATTTCAATTTTCGAATTTTTAGATTTTACAAAAAATCAAAATTGAAACACTTTTAAATACATAAATTAATTTATTATATGAGCTTCTTAATATTCTGTATTCGCTCAATTGTGGACAAAAAATTAATCAATACTTAATTTGTAATTAAATAGATTTAAAACAATTAACAAAAAAAAAAATAGAAGCTTTTCATATAAAATAAATGTAATTTCATATTGCATAAGATTTTTGCACTGCTTATTTCTAAGAAAGATTACATATGTATAAACTTACATGAGATTCTATACGATCGTCTTTCATCTCCTGATAATACAATGGAAACGCATATTCGTCAATGTAATGAGATATTTCCAAATATGGACTTTGCAAAATTTCATAAAACTTCTCTTGATCTGCAGATTCTAAAGCCATGTTCAGCAGTTTTACAGTGTTTTCTCCTGTAATATAAATTGGGATTCTATTCAATATCCATTTAAAAGAAATTATTTATAGAAATTTTGTTAAATAATATTAACGTTTGCGGCGTCGCTGCGCGTTTTCGTTTCCTTTGTCAATCGCACTCTGAAATGTATCCATCCAGTATTGAATATTTTCAGATGCACATATGTCATTGCACGGCTCTTCCCTCAATACCAGCATGAGTTGTTCCTTGTAATCTTCAACATTCTCAGAAGCTATATTCTGCGAAATAATACTTATAACATTAATTAAAGGTCTGTATACAAATATAGTTATATTCGAAAATATACAATATAATCTTCCTATACCTTAAAGGGTAATACTAGTGCCCTTAAAGCAGCTATTAAGTCAGCATCATTATGCAATACAGATGAAATAATGACTTTCAGGGCACAGGAAGCTGAAATATATTTTATCATAACAAACTAAGTCAAATACAATTTTGCAATAATTATCAAAATTTAAATCTCATAATATTTATTCACCATTCACATAATTAATGTGTCCTTGTATTTCTGCTTGTGTTAATAGCTCATCATATACATCTGCTACATAACTGTCATTGAGGGACTGAGTAGCATTGCAACAATAGAGAAATTAATGAAAGATTAATAAAAAGTATTAAATGTGAATATAAACATATAAAATTATGCAAGTGTACAATCACATACTCTGTTTAGCGATGTCTCTGTTTTTGCAATTTTAGCAGCCAATAATGCTTCGATATATTCTTTGATATAAACAGGTTTGATGTTATTTAATTGTGCCTCTGCACTTTGAAGTGTGTAGAGAACTTTATCATTATCCTGGAAATACAAATTAATTGATATCATGCAATTTATTTTGTATAAAAGAATTACTTTATAAATAAAATAAAACGAGCTTACATTATCTATTAGAACTTGATTAATTGCAATCACAGCAGCATGAAGAGCAGCTGTGTCTGTAGCAATACTGTTTGTCAATAAACCTCCTATTTTTTGGAAAGGAGGTAGTTGAATGCCATATTTCTGCAATTCTTTACTGACTGCATCTATTTCTTCATCTAAAAAAAAAAACAATAATTGTTATAAAATTATATAAGAATATAATTATAAATATCTTCTTGTCTTTCACACAATTTAGTATTTATTTTGTGTTAATATCCTTGGATTTTCTAAATAATATTGCAGAGAACAAAGAAGAGAATACATACCAGAGAAATTTACTTTTCCATACAAATCTTGCATTGGTGGTGCTTTTCCCAATTTAAATAAATGTGTGCTAAGGGCATGAAGGCAATATATCACTCGTGGCATATTCTTCTTGTCATATATATCTGTTGTTTCCGGTAAGAATGTCTGTAAAAGGCAATTACATCAATAAATATATCAATATAAGCAGAATATATATTTGTATTATACTAATAATGTTAAACTCTCTACTTATATGGTCTTTATATATTAAATATTACATACCAATGGTAACTGCATAGATGCCAAGCATTTCAGAAAATGATTTATATTATCAGTGTGACGAAATTGTAATCCTACAGCTTTGTATCTACGCTGTTCAATATCATAGATTTTATTCAATGATAAAACATTAGGTGCAATAAAATGAGCGAGCTTAGCCAGATATACTCCATTACGGAGATTTTCCTCCAACTCAGTTGTCGGTGGTAGCGATTCTCTCAAGCAAGCTTCCATCCATCTGCAAATGGAAATTTTCATTTAATTACTCATTTCATTTTACTTTAGAAAAATTATACTTAAAATATATCTTTATTGTACTAATATATTACTTCTTTGCTCCTTCCAGATAACAGAGATACTCGTATGCCAGTGTTTTTCTGCGTTGTTCATCTATCTTCTCCACAGATTTTCCCACATCCTCTTCTAAAATGCATTTGTGCAAACGTAAGTATTCAGAATACATCATACAAGATAAATATGGATCGTCCATTTAAATTGTCTCTTTGTAATGTCAATGTCACAGAAATGTTTGTGCCAAAGCACTATTTATCTCTGCTATTTCTAAATAGCCAACACACACATACATACACGTGCATATTATAATTAATTATACGTGCATAAGTGTAAAATTTATTAATTTATTTATAATATTTACTGACCCTCGGAAACTAACGAGTATTTATAGAGATTCCGTGATTTGTTCGCACAAGAGAACGCGGAGATACATATTTACTATTAATATAACGAAACGAGACTTCAGATGACAGTTTCCTCACCTTTTCCATCCTCCGTCGAAACGTCAGCCGCGTCAATCATTCTGAGAACGAACAAACTGTCACACGCGAAAATCCGGCGAGCGCAACAGGTGAAAAACAAATCGGACGATACGTTACCTGTTATCTCGAATTCAAATTTATCTTTCCGCGGGGGGCAGCACTGACGGCAGAGCTGCCAACGATGCGGAACAAACAGTCACGGTGTATATCCCGAGTACCTAGATGGCATCGGAAAAAAAGGGGAAAACGACGGAAAGGAAGAACGCCGAATGTACTCGAAAAAATTATTTTGACATACATTATTTATAAAATTTAAAAAAAATTAGTTTTTAGTATTTCTATAATATTTATATTACTATAGAAATATTTAAAAATACTAATTTTAAAATTTTTCTAAAAAATATGTGTCAAAATAATTTGTCATACTTAATAATTAAATAAAATAAAATTTATCATTATAATTTAATTATTATTATTTATAATCTTAATATTATTAATATTTAAATTTAAATAAAATTTATTATTATAATTTATATATATATATATATATATATATTTTCTTATATTATCTATATATAATATTCATTATTATAATTAAAATTTCATTGTTATAATAATGAATATTATATATATAGATCATTATTAAAATTTCACCATTTATCCATAATATTTATTATTAATAAATATCATTTATATTCAAAATAGAGCAATTAAAATTTGAATGTGAATTACCTAAAAATGGCGGACCAATCAAAAGTGGTCCCTCGATGACCAGTCTCTTATTAGAGGGTCTCTACCCGAAAGAGTATCGAGTCCTCGTCGCGAGATGGCGCGGCGGGCGGCCCGGCCGGACGGAGGGCTCGTGACGCCAACCGATGGATACGCCGCGTACCCCCGGTACATGCATACGCACACATACATACATGCATCTTCGGCCTAAGGGTGGGTCTGTCCTTCGTGCGGGAGGGGTCGCGCGGCCGCAAATCAGTGCCGTGAACGCTTCGGGTTCGGGTCTGCTCTCGCGCGAGTTGCAAGGGCGGTGATCCGCGTGCGATACACCATCCGATCGCTCGTGGGCCACCCGGTGCATGGTCTCTTGGTGCGCGGTCGCCTCTTCTCGCCGACAACGAGCACGATCGAAGGCGGATGGAACGTGGCGCTTTCCTGCTTTCCTGATTCCCCCGCTTCTGTCAGTAATAGAGAAAGAGAGAGAGAGATAGAGAGTGAGAAAGAGAGAGTGACGGAGAAACGCACACGAGCCCCCCCGGTACGTAGGTACCGCTCCGGTCGTTCATGGCTGCGGCTCGGGGTGGGGGAAAACAAGCCCTGTAACGACGTAAGATCCCAAAAGCTTTATGCAGGAATATGTCAAGTTTAAAAATCGGTAAGTCCGGCCGACCCTCGTATGTGTACGTTTCCCCGCTTTTTGCGCTCCTCGCACGATCCGTAGCGCATAGGTTGTGTCACGTCTCTCGCCTGTTTCTCTTTCTCTCGAGAGAGAGGGAGAGAAAGAGAGAGAGAGAGGAGCAGACGAGCCTTTTAGAGCAGCGATCGCTCGTTCGCTTAGAGTCATTTGTGCCATGTCTATGAATTTCGCTCGGCGGTATTGTCCCTTTCCGAGAGAATCGCCGGCGCTTTCGTTGACACGAACGTGGAAGTGACTTCGATATGCGCATATGCGACACGAGCCTCGTATTCGCACCGATGATTTCATATTTTTCCTCGAGTCTCTTCGTCGCGTTTTCTTGGATTATGTGTCCGGTGTTTACGAGGGACAAAATTCGAGTCAGCTGGGGTTTTAGCGTCATCGGTTTATTTCATGCACTCAGTCTTATATAGGACATTTGGTTTTTTTTTCGATGCCGAATTGCTTTCTCCTCTCTCAATCGATATTAAATTGTTTGGATCGTACATCTTCCTCTCGGGATATTGAGAAAATTTTCTCGACGTACAAGATAGAAAAGAGGAGAAGGAGGCCGGGAAATGTTCACATTATTGTGTATACGAGTGTACTTTTATTTAGTCCAAGAAATGCACTTGTATTCTAAATCTTAATTGATTGCTCATGACAGGTTTGCTTCAATAAAGCTCTTACAAAAGTTTTACTGAATATTGACAAGTATATGAGTTACATATTTTTCACGCAGATTATATTTAGCTTGAGTTGTATATATATGTAGTTGTATATTTGTTATATTGCATGCATATATGTAATATAATACTAGAATACAGATCACATGTACTTTGTATAAAGGATATCTTTACATTAACTTATTTAATTTATGAATGAAAGATAAGCACTAAGATGTAGCTATTGATTTATGCATTGCTTAATGATAGTTTCCCAGTTGGTTTTCAATGTTATTAATTATTAATTTGAGTTATGTATATAAGTTCAACTAATTTTGGTATTAGAATATATATTTATCACAAACAAATGTTATTATTATTCCAATCGTGAAATATATTGCACATTTAGGGAGATAAAGATTTTTGAGAAATAAATAGGCATATATATAGGGTGAGTCGCTTAGTGTAACAATCTGTCATTATTTTTGTCATTTTTATCAAAATAGAAATCTGTTTAATATTCACTATGTGACTTCACATTCAAATATCTCTGAATATTTGTTACTAATATAAGTGAAATCATAGAATTATTATGGATCTTTATAAAACTTACAAATGTTACATTCTGTGAAAAGTTAAATGATCTCACTCTATTAATGTGCATATTAACATGTATTTTAAATATAATATGATAAAAAAATAAAATTTTATCAAACTTGTCTAATAATCTTATGCTAATGACTGTTATTTTATTTTTTCCAAAGTGTTGGTAATGCACTTGCTTGCGCTACCCTTGAGAACAATGGATTCTGACCAAAGAAATCAGCAGGTGCATCAGCACTGAACAAAAAAAAGCAAAAATAAAGTAATCAATGCCTGCTGCACTCACGCCATCGACTCTGTACAAGACTTAAGATTTATTGAAGTAGTACGTGAGTAGCAGCTACTCACGCCACACTCTCAGCTGTACATATAAATTTAAATACATATATATATAATATATCGTCGTATATATATATCTATATATATATATATACACATCATATATATACATATATATATATATATACATACATATATACATATATATGTATTTATTTTTTCGCACATGGCAGCCATGAAGCATGGTACGTTTTATTTTTTCGTATGCTTTGCTTTGTATGTAAATTTCTTTTTATTCAAGGTATCGATAAAGTTCATCAGGTCTATATAAGTCTATTACCTTGATGATAATTTGTTTAATTTTTAATTCATGTATATATTTTATAAATTTATAATTTTAGTCCTATGCATATTTTACAAACTTTTCGAAAGACATATCGAGACTTTTATTCATTTGCATCTAATTTTATACTTAATTTACATAATTGATTACTGTATAAATTATTGATTTTATATCGATCGTGATATTTGTTACATAAAATTATAAAGTACATGTTACTGTTTCTATACAAACAATTATAGTACTTGTGCGTGTATGTGTGTGTGTGTGTAAGTAGAGTGATGAAATTAAGAATAGTAAGTTTGATTTTATTTCTTCTGTTATCAAAAGTAGTACATCAACCTGATGATCTTTTGTTATAATGATTTCACTAAGTTATACAATACATATAAATTATTCTTAATATTTACAAATTATATAAATGAAATAAGGCGCAATGAAAGTGATGATTGAATTTATACATATTATTGGCGTTAAGAAGAGAAGAAATTAATTGAACACAATGATTTCTTACTCATGCAGCTTTTTTACCAATATGTGTTATAATAATCATGATATATTTCAGGCAAGACGAGTCAAGACGACGTATGTTACGTTGTCGCCAAATATGATTACGGTGCACAGGGCGCCCAGGAACTAGATTTACGTAAGAATGATCGTTATCTATTACTGGACGATTCGAAACATTGGTGGCGAGTGCAAAGTGCGAGGGGACAGGCGGGATACGTGCCGAGCAACTATGTTAAGAAGGAGAAGCCTTCGTTGTTCGACAGTATTAAGAAGAAAGTTAAGAAGGGTTCCGGCTCTAAGACATTGCCATCCAGTAACTCGCCGTCTCGTGCGGTTGAGTCACCCATCATGGCGCGACGTCTACCGGCCGATCCGAGCGAAGCGATCGGCACCGCGGTTGTCAAGTATAATTATCAGGCACAGCAAGCTGACGAGCTATCCCTCGTGAAGGGCACTAGAATTTTGATACTCGAGAAGAGCAACGATGGTTGGTGGCGAGGCCAAAGCGGCACCCAAGCTGGCTGGTTTCCGTCGAATTACACCCAGGAGGAGGGCGATGCCGACGACACGCTGCACACGTATGCGATGGCCGAGAATGTACTCGATATCGTGGTGGCTCTTTATTCGTTCTCGTCCAACAATGATCAGGAGTTATCGTTCGAGAAAGGCGACCGTCTCGAGATCCTCGATCGTCCACCGGCGGATCCGGAATGGTACAAGGCGAGAAACAGCCAGGGCCAGGTCGGATTGGTGCCGCGCAATTATCTTCAAGAGCTCAGCGAATACTTGACGCAACCGTATCGCGAACGCGGTATGACGAGCAGTGAGATAAGTCAAGGAGATTCCCTCGAACGGAGGCCGGATCCAGGTGATCGGCCGCATCTCGTCGGTAAACCCTGGTACTATGGTAGTATTACACGTTCGCAATGCGATACACTGCTCAATCAACATGGCCACGATGGAGATTTCCTAATCAGGGATAGCGAAACCAACGTGAGTAAAAGATGAATGCGATTGTTGTCGCAAATGAAATATTTTAAATCAAAATATTTCACGTTTAAGTCAACTCTAGTAACGTCTTGCCGAAATAAATTATATCCCAGTCGAAAGTTTACATTTTAAGAGCTAATCTGTGTATATTTACATTGTGTCCTTCTATTTATCTTATTTTGCTACTTTATGTATAAATAATTAAAAGTCAAGTTCTGCTTAAAGAATATTTGTATAAGGAAAATTTAATGTTTGGAAATTTACTAAAAATTTAGAAATATAATTGCTCTAGTTTATTATACCCCATAAAGAATGGATATAATATAAAAATATAAAATATATATGTAATAAAAACATATGAGATTGTTTCCCATTATAAGCTTGCTCATTATTGTCAATTTTTAGATGGGCGATTATTCGGTATCCTTGAAAGCACCAGGACGTAATAAGCACTTTAGGGTACACGTGGAAGGAGCGCTATATTGCATCGGTCAAAGGAAATTCCACACATTAGACCAGCTTGTAGATCATTACCAGAGGGCGCCAATTTACACCAATAAGCAAGGTGAAAAGTTGTACTTGGTACGCCCATTACCAAAAGGCAATGCCAGTAGCAACGGTTGCTAGATGAATTCGTGCCATGAAGAAGAAGAAGAAGACAGTCCATGCGCTTTCAGATGTATCGCTAAGATACGCGACGCCTGCCTAGTAATATCAATATCATCATACACATCTCGTACGTTTATACATAACAATTAATATAATTGGTCTACACTCATATATTAGTGTTTCTCGATTGTTTTTTCCATTTATACAGTGACATATATCTATATATAAATATAATTTATTACTCTAAGTGAATCTTTTACACACACATTCTCCTCGGAGCTTCCAGACTACTCAGCAAACGAACAAGGAAACATAAATATGGCAACTATGTGAAACTAATTGACAACACAACAAGGCTTATATCTTTATATTCATATGTAATTGTAATACGCGAACCGACCATGTTATTACAATTAATAATATATTACAACTGCATATAATATAGACTGCGCAAGTGTAATGATCAAGTAATAATTAATTATCATGCAATTATGAAACGATTAAGTCGATCCTTACTCTAGATCTATCGGTATTCAATTATAACAAAGACTAAGTGTTCATTTGTGATTTTGTATTTATTAGAAGTTTTTAAGTAAATAAACTGTATGTAAGTGTGCATAAAAAAAGAGATAGAATATATCCTCGATTTTACTTTCATTATTCATTTTTGATATAACAGATATCTGTAATATACATTTCTCTCTTAGGACTAAGATTATATTATGATAATCATTTTATTTTTTTTTTTACATTTTTTTTCTAGATATATATTTCTATTTTTAGGAATAATACTCAAAAAGAAAAAAATTTGTCTAGTTTATTTGAAAGTATCTCTCAGGAAACTGGAGTGAAAAAACTACTGCTACAATAAGTAATATTTACGCATTTAGTAACAAATATTAATCTCTTTATTAACGTGTATATTATATTCATAAATAAAAGTATTATTTTATTTATATAGAGATGAGATTGGTGCTCCTGGGGATAGAAGTTAATGGCACTAATTGCCAATAAGGTCACATAGATATATATATGTATACATATGTACATACATATATATAAATGTGTATATATATATATATACATATATATACATATATATATATATATATATATATATATATATATATATATATAACAATTTGCCTAAATCTAAAATATTTTAGTTTTGCATTTAGTTTGTTCGTAACTCCGTTAAAAGCTTATTAGCGTACATAATCATAAGAAAGGATTGTTTGAATTCCTCGTCATATTACTTACTCCCGTGCCCACCTGAAACCAAAAATGGATATGAATATATGGAATGAAAATTTCTTGATTTTTTTATTAAACTCATTTACCATGAATGGATTCGCATGATAGGCTGGAACTGTCGGTTGCCATACTTTGTTTGCTAACGGTGTCATAAGTTGACTCAATTGGAGTACATCCCTGTTACTAGCTGTAGTTGTCCATTGTGAATCTGAAAATTTATTTTTCAAGTTTATTAAATCAAAAACTAAAACTGCAAAACTAAAATTACTTTGCAATGACAGGGATATAACTTTGTAACACACGGCATTTCTTATCTCTAATGCCTTTTGATCTCCAAGCTATTTTTGCTTTAAAAATGAAGTGCATATTTTACAAATTAAATATAAAAAATGTATAGAAAATTGTACGAAACATATTAAATAAACATACACACGTTAATAAACTCGCTACATAAAAGTTATGTAGCATTTGTATTTTTAACGGAATTTTAACGTAAAAAAATGCGTATGTACATGCGTGTTTTATTATGTTAAAACCCTTACCATTATTTACAGCAAACTGAGTTGATTTAAACGGATTCGCAGAATTACACAGAGAATTATCGACGGATTGAGTATTATTATTGTTGATTACGTTCGCAGACGGCCGCCATAAATCTCCACCCGTGAACGGGTTCGAAATGACATGATGATTATTACCTACTCCTATACTCCACGTAGCGTTCGATGCTGCAATTAATTAGTTTTTATATTCTTCGAAGCCGATTATATAATGTTAAGTGTACAAATTGATGATAATTGATTGAAACTTTACTCAGCGTTTTATTTCTTGTCGCAAGGTAATATTCACCATTTGTATTATTTGCATTCCACGTAGATTGCATTCCTGCCGTCTCCTCTTTCAATTGCGTTTGCTTCATCAGCGAGTCTAAGTCTTTGAGTGCCGCGTAACGATCCTCGGAGGGTGGCGCGTGCGCCCCATTCATCGTGGAACCGACCTGATTAAACATTGCGGACGTTTCCACACCTCAATAATAAAATTGTTCATTATAAGACAAGCGTTTGATCAGATTAAACGATCGATTTAAATTCGATTCCGACAAGAAAATAACGCCAATTATACTCACTATTCGAATTATTGAAGATTGGATTATTGTCAAAGTTGGCGAAGAAGGTCGGCTGCGGCGCGATCGGCTGCTGGCTAAAGTGATTGGTTGTCGCAGGACAAAAGGGATCGGAAGGAACCTTGCTGAAATCGGCGACGAAATCCGTGGAGAAATTATTGGAGTTGTTCAAGTTGTTTCTCGATTCCGCATTATCGATTGATTTCTGACTGACTGGCGCAGGCAGCGTCCCCGAGTTTGGGACTCTCGGGATACTGCTACTGTTGCTCGAAGATGATTTTTGTTGCGTTGTATTATTTTGATTCGCGATCGACGGGTCCAGGTAATATCTCTTGAGCTCGTACTTGGCACTCATTAGGTCCTTCATCTTTTGTTCGTCCTTGGTGTCCAAGTTTTGCGGTGGGTTCATGTTCATTAGGCCTAGCCATACTCTTCGGCAATAGTCGTTACCGTGCTCTTTTATAAAATCTATTTCTTCCTGACTGAATGTTGCCATGGAAATTGATTTCACTCTATGAGGTGGAGTCAAGCCTCGTCTGAAAAATACAAAGAAGAACTTGTAGAGATCGTAGATTTCTCGTCGTGATATCACGAATAAGAATTTTAAATGGACAAACACACCCATGTAAATATAATCATACACAATAGCAACATGATTTCAACTAATTATGAATATGCAATATATAATAATTTTTAATTAAATTTTCGGTAATATTTTTAATAAAAATATATTTTTATAATAATATAAAAATATTTTATTTTATAGTAATATATAAATATGTTTTTATAATAATCTTTACAATGATCTGAATAATTATAAAAAGATCTTTAAAGATTTTAAAGCCTTGAAAACGTCACGTATTTCACATGTCTGATGTAATATGTATACAGAAAGCAATAATGCTTTCATCCAACTCTGAGTATCTATAATTTTTCAATTAAATTCCCGACAATATTTTTCTTACGAAGATATTTTTGTACCGTGATAATCTTGATTTAAAATTAGAAAAAAAAATTCTTAAAGATTTCAAAATGTCAAGTACTTCATATCTGATGTTATATATAATATATATATATATAATATATATATATATATATATATATATATATATATATAATTTTCTTATTATCTAAATCATTTAAATTTATTAGAAAAAATATACGAAAAAAAGAGAAAGAAATATATGGAAAATCGATGAGCGCATGCCCGCATTTAATTACCATTGCGACAATAAAATTGATCCAAACTTTGTTCAGCCCATAATCCTCTATTTTATATATATATATATATATATATATATATATATATATATATATACATACATACATAATTTTTTTATTTAAATCTCATCTGAATTTATTAGAAAAAATATGCAAAGAAAAAAAAAGACGAAAAGAAGGGAAAGGAATATACGGAAAATCCATGAGCGCATGCTCGCGTTTAATTAACTGCGACATAAAATTGATCCCAACGTTGTTCAGCTTACAATTCTCTATTTTATATATATACATATATATATATATATATATATATATATATATATATAATTTAATTCTATAATTCCCTTAACGTTCCAAATGATTAAAATATTTCGTGACGCGTAATAACGGCTCGCGTGCCTCTGCGGCGTAGGACGCATACCTACTTAAAGCCGATGCAGTAACGAGATTTAAAAATTCGCACGTGCGCGCGCGCGCGCGGACGCGTGCGACCACCTCGTGCGACGCGCCGATTAAGAGCGCGAGTCGATAATCGCATTCGTATCACGCGATCAACGATCTTGATTTCTTCTAGAGATAAAAGGAAAAAATGAAAAAAGAAAAAATAAAGAGACAGAAAGAAAGAGAGAAAGAAAAATGATACATTTCATGTTTTCCGCTCTCGCGCGATTCACGCACGGATTGATGCGTGTGTGTAACGTTTTGACCATTGATAAACTTAAGATTACGCACAAAGAGAGAACGTCAACGGCTGCTGATAGCGACAACTTCCTGACTGGTGGATACGCGGACCTTTAGCGCGATGACTCACTGGAGCGAGAGCATTCTCATCTTTTCTCTCTCTCTCTTTCTCTTTATTCTTCTCCGCATCGCAACAATATATAATGAAATGTAAAGAAGCTTATACACGTGTACGTCGCCCAAAGCGATTTTCGTATAAAGACTATATATGTCCTACATAAGAGACTCTCTCTCCAAGGATCGCACGTATATCGTCGATCGCGTTTGACGGTCAGAAAATTTTCTCCCTCTCTTTCTATTTATAGCTCCTACATCAACAGTGGCCAGGACTACGATTTAGAACGCGAAACGAACGCTATAGACAAACCGACTCGCGATTTCAACAATTTGAATGCTGACTCGACCATTTCGCTATCGCGCTCGATCCCGTAAGACTTGGCCATTGTGTTTAGGCCGTTCCAGTTTGCTCCTTTTTGCGGGGAAACTCGAATCAGAGTTAAAGCCCTGGGATGACAACTGCGATGTTACTTCCCTCTTCCCATCGAGCCGTTGACATTTGTCAGCTCAATGTCACACACGCTCGGTGACGCGAGGATGGGGTACAATCGAGTACGCAACACGGTGTCCCGGATTCCGAGTGCAGGCTCGACGAGGAAGGAGAGGGCACGTCTGGCCTCGGACTCGACCGGGACCAGAGGGAAACGCTTCTCCTCCGAAAGGGTGACCCCGAAGCGAGAGCTGGCAGAGAGTTACTTACAGCATACCAGAGCAAGAAGTGCAGACGAACGAGCCGATCGTCATGTTGACGTAAGTCGGCCCGCGCTGGTTGCAATCGAAGCATTGCTTGTTGCCCGGCTGCGAAACGAATTCCCGCAGCGTCTTCAGGTTCCTCTCGTCCTGCTTTCTCTTGGCGGACGCCATCGCGGGACGCGCGCGCGATCGGCGGGAATGCCGATTATCGGGACGGGGCTCTACTTCGGCGTTGCTTCGGTCACGCTCGGACACGAACGCGGACACCCAGGTGCAGGGGGATCGTGATAATCAAATTAGGAGATCGCGCCGCGCCTGTAGAACCGACGGAACTGGACGGAACTGACCGCGATGATGGCGCTGTTTCTGGTCTACGTTTCTGCATTTTTCTCTCTTTTTTTTCCCCTATCTTCAGCCACTGATTATGCAATATTCAAGATCGGCTTTACCAGTCAACCTATAGGTAGAGTAATATCCAATAGAAATTAGTGACTAGATAACTAGTCACTAGATGTAGAGTCACTAGATAACTAGTGACACTTTTATTTTATTTCTAGAAAACCAACTCTCCTATTGGATGTCGATGTTTAGATTATCCGACCCGGGGTACTTTACTAGACATCATTGACCAATCACAGCCATTCTTCTGAAGAATGTAACCATACATTCATAGGTCGAATCGTCGAATCAAACCCGACCATTCGAAAACGCTATTATGTTGATGTCATGCGAGATAATGATTCAATATATCTCTATTCAATATATAAATATTTTTTTAATTAATTAATTATAGATGTAAATAGATATTAATTATATATATTATTATATTAAATAATTCTTCATCCAATATATATAGATCATATATGACTATACAATTTCTAATTTTTCTATGTACATATTCTCATGTGTCAGAAATATATATAATCATAAATAAAATAATAATTCTATGTGCATTGATAAAATGTTGCAATATTTAATCATGTTACAGAATATTAATAAATATATATTTTTTTATATATGGCATTAATCTATTATAAACATATTCTTTTAACATATAATATGAAAAAACAAATATACAAATATTAAAATTAATCGATTCTCTGAGCTTTATTTACAAACTTACCCATTACTAACATACATTAATGAATATTTTGTAATCGTTTTTAATTGATGTCAAAAGTAATTATTTATATTATTTTATATGGGAATGGGCAATTCTTTTGCAACCAATACTAGGATCTGATCTATACTCAGACACCAGTTTACTATATTTTTGGAAACCTTACACCAATTTTCACCATGATGAGGCTCCGCGACAATGCATCTCTTCTTTACATCTTCTTGCTGTTCTTCGGTGCCATTTAGTAATTCAAACTTGTAGAAATACGCCCACGCGTCTCCTAAATCCGGATCTATCTTTACCGTTCGATTAAACCAATCTCTGCATTTTGAAATCTTATGTTCACACCAAAATAATCTGTAACAGATTAATTACATTTGCATAATCTTTGCAATTCTTGTTTTTATTCTATATAATTGTTGATATAAATTTTTATATATTTCAAATAGACGTTAACTCACTTTGATACTGCTAGAAGAACGTGTGGATCGTGTTCGCATTTTTTAAGAGCATCTACACTCTTAGTTTTTCGTTGAGGTCGTGGTTCCATGAAAATTGCCTCCGCCCAAAGGAGACCCGAGGTAGGGCATTCTTGTAACGCCTTAGCCATTAGCGTATTTGCCATATCGCGCGCGCCGCCGCTTTTTAATTCATTCCGTACAGCTTCTAACCATAATTCTGCATTTTTAGGATTCTTGAGCCGAGCTTTCTCCAAAACTGAACGTGCCTTAGTCACTTGGTTCTTCCTGTGCTCCAATTGCGCCAGCAGACGCCATAAGGGTATCGAATTTGGACATTTCTTGATCTGTATGAATATAAAAGAAGATGATACTTTTCTTATGTATACATTTGTGTATCTTAAGTTAGTAAAAAAATCATTCACTCACCGCTTGATTATATGTCTCTATCGCTTTGTCTAAATAACCCTGCTGTTCCTCAATTTGGCCCTTCATTAGCCACAATTTAGGGAAGTCATCGAAAGCGTCGAGAGCTTCTTTCAGTAAACGTAATGCCGCATCCAAATTATTAAGAGCCCATTCCAGTTTAGCGCTTTTCATCATTACTCTCGGCGTCGGAGCGGATGCTCTAGCCTTGGCCAATAAACGTCGCGCTCTCTCGTATTCTGAATTTTCGGACTCGAGCTTCACTGCCGCCAGCCAAATTTCTTCGGAATTTGGATTAGCTTGGAACGCTAGAGACAAGATACCTCTGGCTGCTGGCACATCGCCCTGAAATGAAAAAAGAGGTTGAAGGAAAAAGATAAGTAAAGATTCTCTATTAGAATTAAAGTTTTACACGTAAATCTCTACTCACAGCCAACCACTTGGATTTAGCACCCATCAGCCAGAGCACTTCACTCTTGGGACAATGAGCGACTGCTCTTTGTAGCAAAGCTTCCAAAGATTCTCGTGTACCGTATGTCTTTTCGAAATAAGCCGCGCGTAACCAGATTGATTTCTTACTAGGAAATGTCGTTAATGCATATGCATAAACAGCTCTCGCGCATTCCAATGCTCCTTGTTGAGCGCACTGCAACAAAATATACATATTTATTTGGTATAGACATTAATTTTCATCTGTATTATTTTTATTAGATAGACAAACAATAGACTGTGCCTTACAGTTTCCGCATCTTCCATCCATGTATGCTTCCTATCCTCTTCTTCTACTCCAAAACTAATAATAGCTTTGACGATAACTTGACAACAATGCACTGCTCCCGCTTTCTCAGCTTCCATAGCTTCCTTAAACCAATGTTCCCTGTTGATCTCTACCCCATTGGCGCTCAACGAGGATATAGCGCGATCGATGATTTTCTCTACCATGTGCTTATTGCCGTTTGCCTCTTCCAATTTCGCGGCGGTGGTCCAAATCTGTCTATCTGTCGGGATATTTTCTCGGGCCTTGTTCAAGACTTTTCTCGCATTATCATAGGTCTCTAATCTTGCGAGAGCCAGCCATAAATCCACACTAGTTGGACAGCATTCAACCGCACGACTAAGCAAGATACGTGCGTCTTCGGGCTCCTCCAATTCGACGGCCGCTTTCCACAATCTCACTGAATTCGGGATATGTTCCAGAGCCTTTCGATACACTCTTCTTTTCGCTTTTACCTCCATCTCCAAATCCGCGGCCTTTATCCAGATTCTAACAGATGTCGGAATATGTCGCACCGATTGTGCTATCACTGCCTTTGCCGTATCTGGCGGCTGCAGTCTCGCAGCTTCCAACCATAGATCTTCAGAAGTGGGATTTACTTCGCAGCCTTTCATTATCAGATTTCTTGCTGCTTGAACCTTTCCCGTCACCTCTTCTAAACGCGCGGACGCGATCCACGCAGGGGGATGATTAGGATTGGTCTCTCTGACGGATTTTAACAGTAATCTGGCCTTTTTTATGTCGCTATCAAAATAAAAGAAAATTGTGATAAGAATATATAATTTTAAAATTAAATATGCAATAATCATACTTACTTTATGTCACCACCATAAGTAGGTATCATGCTCTGCAAATCTGTAAGATATCCTTTTGGATCAACTACAGTTTGGCCCTCTACTGAATCGGAAACTTGATTCAGCTTGACATTCATCAATGTATTTCTGGCCTGTCCAATCTTCCTGAGATCGAGATCTCCTGTAGGAGTTAACATACCTGGTGTCGCTACACCTGGCATCATGGAGGCCAAACCACTAGATGGATCAATACTAGTGGATGTTTCACCCCCTAAATTTCTTGCTAGGACTGAGTCTGGCAATGGGGTAAATTTTTCTGCTCTTGGATTACGCTGTTTGCGATTTCTAGCATCTCCCACTTCAGGGACGTTTCTCCATTCATCTTCAGATACATTAACCAATTCTCTCTTCAAGTCTGAGAATTGCTGCTGAATTTTCGGACGTTCTTGACGATAGCGTTCCAGTTCTTCCCTGAGCCGTTTTTCTCTGTATTCCTTACGTTTCTCATCCATACGTTTATCAATAGCTTCATAAATTGCATCTGCTTCTTCATCATCTTTATCATAAGGATCCTGATATTATTGAAATATTATTATTTCTAATATTTCATGAGAAAAAAAATAATAATTTTACTCACCTTACTAAATAGAGAACCTCCATATCCTGAAAATTCATCGTAATTTGAATCATTTAAGTCTTCTTCATCCTCTTCCTCCTCCTCCTTTTTCTTTGCACGTTTCGTGGGTGGAGCGTGTCTATCATCCCTACATTCAAAATACAAATGATAATGACTTGTAAAAAAATATCACATTAATCAAGTTATTCTTGCAAGGAGTGTATTTTTTTACTTACGAAACGTCATTAGCATCTCGAGCGGGACCGATATCAGATCGTGTTGTAAATCCTGTAGCTCTGTGAGGAAAAGGAGAGGTTAACTATATGTTGCATTCGGATTATTATAATTACACTCGGTAGTTGCATGGATATTTATAATTATATATTATGTATGGAAAAAATTTACCCTCGGCCAACACCAGCAACATATCCCAGAGGTGCTGGTACACCCAAAAAGTGCTTTTTACTCCGCGTATTTAACGAGACCGAGGCCATGTTGACGTATTGCGATGCTTGTTTATCTTTACGGCAAACGCGAGAAAACTCGCGCATGCGCAGATTCTAGCAGACGATGGCCGGTATTCATAGTGGGTGACACCCGATTGACCACGTCGCCAATTGGCCAATTCAAAATAGGACTCTCTGATTGGTTAATCGTTGCTGGTTACCCTAGGCACAGGTCGATATAATTGGCTGTGGTCAATCGCAACGTGGTCAAATGGGACGCTCCCTTCATAGTCCGGTCTTACATTTAAGATCATCTTAAGAACTCATTCCACCAATCAATAGCTGCATTGTAGCTATTTGATTGGTTGAATGAGTTCTTAAGATGATTTAAATATAAGACCGGCCTATGGGCCTGTTTTTTTTTAGCTGCACTAGTGCAATTAGTTAGAGTGAAAGAAAGTATGTTTATCTCTTTCAAACTTACTGCACTAGTGCAATAGTGCAACTAAAAAGAACAAACCCTATTACGCGCGCAATTCATACACACACACACACAAATTTCTTTTTGTTGCAATGTAGAATTGTGTAGAACGTTGCTAGATTTTTCAGAGAAAAGAATATGTTATATGGAATATAATATAGAAAATAATTCATACAATTAATTTTTTTAAAATTCTATTATTTACAACATGCAGCTTGATATTTTAAAATAAATCATGGTTGTTTATAATATATAGATAATATATAGATGTATATCGAACATAATAGTGACTTGTCTTATTAAAATCCTAAAACTTTAGATAGAATCATAAAAGTATATTACAATATGTATAATTGTTGAAATACTGATGCAATGAATATTTTAATAATTTATAATATGTCTTGTTTTGGCACTATATTTGTAATTTCATTAATGTAATTGGAAAGTTTAATTTTCATATTTTTATTGCACTAAAATGTAAACATTAAATATTAAACTAATAAATTTAATGATTGATTGTAAATAATAATAATTATTATTTAGTTTTTTGTGTGCGAAATTATTCTTAGAGTATCAATATAGAAAATTATATTCTTTGTAAGGCATTATATGTTACTTTCTTGATGAAAAATGAAGATATGCGTTTAATTTACAATTTCTTTGAATCATTATAATGCATGATATTAAGAAGGTAATAAACCTAAACTTTGTAGACATATTTGTGCTGCTTCCGCTTTTGCTTGTTTTTTGTTAGGGCTTGCAACACTCGGTTTATATTCGATGCCATTTACTTTTACCTATAATATATTAAATTAATATATTGATAAATTAAAATATATTCTTGTGAAATACGAGTAAAAACTTGTAATAACATTACACACTTTGAAGAGGAAATTTTTTCTGTGATCTGGTCCACATTCAAAACATAGCTCATAAACTGGTGCTCCAAGTTTTTTCTTGGAACAATATTCACCCAAAAGTGACACTGGATGTTTGCCTAGAATAAAATTGTTGCAAATGGTTATATTTAATTTAAATACGCATTTTTACCAAAAGTATACTTTATGTTACTTTCATAAAGAAATAAAAATATACATTCTGTTTCTCTAAAGTATGAATAATATATCATAAGTCATCAGATATGTTTTAAATTATTACCTTCCAATGTTTTAACAGCTGGCACTACAGGCTTTACAGTTTTGCCAATTTTCTGCCCGATATCTTGCTCGGAGACTAGCCCTCGCTTGTCCAGTTTAACTTCTAGTTGTAACGGTTCCAAGGCTCCTTCTTTGTTTTTGCCAAGACCCTCACCTGGTCGCCAACCCATCTTTTGCAGCAATGCCATACCCATTCCACCTGACACAGGCTGTGCTGATACTAATTGATCCTAAATAGTTTATTGAAGTAAAAGAACATATCTATTACATCCTTGCATGAATATATATACAATATCTAAATATAATTTTGTGAAAGTTATAGTCCACGTTCTTTGGGAATATATTCAATATAATTGCTATGAAGAACGTGCACATTAGATGTGGCATTTTAAATAAAGTCCCAAGATGAGAAGATGGATATATCCCATTACGTTTTTTTAGTGATTTAAAATTATCTGTATATAAATATATATAGAATGTTAGAAATATAATAATCTGTATTATTATACAACTTGCATAGGAATACTTACCAAGTGAATAATAATCTCTGCATCAGGCTGCCGAAGTTGTTTCGTTTCTGATGTAGCTATGTGCCTGTAACAAACCCTCAGGTGGATGCAGACTAATGCTAAATATCCCAGCTTTATGATTAAGAGGCAATATATCGGCTTCTGATGAAATCCTAGGAAGCTGATGATAATTAGCAGTAATCTCACAAGAGCTCATTATCCCAATACTTCAAAATCTATATCAAAAATTCATTGGTTGATGTAATATTATTATCAGTTTGGTCTAATTATTATTATCAATTACATATTTTCTAGTTTAATATGTAAAATATAAACTTTTTTGTCATATTATTCATTATAATACTTTTGTTTTTAAAATGAGATAAATTTATTACACATACAACAGGATTCTTATCTAAAATTAAATATAATCCTGCAGATTCTGCGATTTATATTGATATAATAATGCTCCTGTGTTCCATGCAGGCACAGAATCCACTTCTACATAAGAAATAGTCTGTGCCTACAACACAGTCTCCGTTAAAATCAACATTAACTCTTTATTGATCATAGCAGAAACTGTGCCTGAAAACTTGTTACAGGCAATATCAGTGTTAATGTATTACTAAACAATGTCAGGTCAAAATTCTGAACATACATAATAGTCAAATATTTTTAATTCATTCTTGATTTATATTATTATAATATATATTAGACCTGTTTCACATTGTTTAGAGAGAAAGAGGAAATCTAATGGATTTAAGATGCATTTACATATCATAGTACAACAAAATATTATGTTTCTAACAATAATTTCAATTAACAACTTTAAAATTATATATTTAATTAATGTTATGTCATATTTTACAAATATATAAAAGAAATTTTTGCAGAATATAATAAATTTGATTTGAAAATGCATCAGGAGATTTTGGCATTATTTTGGTATGATTAGAAGGAATAGGTTCTTTGTGAAATAAGATTAAACATAATAATAATTTTACCTTACGTGCCCAGGCTTGATAACCTGAAGATAGTTCAGCTGGTGTGAGTACTCTAACTCCTGTACTACCAGTAAACTGACCTGGTATCTGCTTACTTTCAGCCCAAGTTCTCATCTATTATATATAAGTTCTTATCTATTATATATATATATATATATTTATAATATTATAAATAGTTTGACACACATACATGTACATATATATGTATATATATATATATGAAAATTATGCTATTTTAAAACAATTTCTATATTATTTCTGTATGTTTCTTTTACCTCATTTTGTGCTCGATGCATTGCATTCAAAGCAACCACATCATTTGGATTTTCTGTTAATTTTCTCATAGCTGCTAGTCTTTCAGATACTATGGAACCAATATCCACAGTCTATAATCATTAAAATCGTTGTTTATAAAATTATTTCATTCAAAATTAATTGTGTTTCATGTAATATGATCTTCTAGTTTACCTTTGTTATTGAGGGAAAAACAGTTTGTGCAGGTTGCACAGGAGGAGGTTGTTCTGATACAGGAGGTGGTGGCATTATTGCTGGTGGCTCGTTTGTTGTAGAAGCCGGTACAAATACTTTTTTTGGTTCGGGTTTCTTTGGTGTAACAGGCACCCATTCATTTTCTAAAAACAATATATTAGATGAATATATCAAATAAATACATTAAAAATATATACTTAACAAAATTATAAACTATATTTTAAAAACGTCTTTACCACTCCTTCTATGATGTTGTCCACTAGAAACAGGAAATTGCAGTCGTAATTGATTCGAAGTCTCGGCTGTTTTTTCTTGGAACGTTTTTGTTGGCAATTGTTTTGCATCCTGAATAGAAAAATAAAATCTTTGTAAATACATATTTGTGAAATGAGATAATCAATGAAAAAAGGTATGTATGAATTTATACTAACTCTAATATTCATTATAATAGAACTAGGCCTTTCTTTTAGAAGAAAAGGATGATGAAAACCCTTTTCAGATTCACTTTCTTCACCTTCAGAAGATATACTGGATAATTCACCTAATGCTTCAGATTTTGACAATGATTTACAAAAATCTATAAAATATATAATTCAATTACAGTTAACATAATAGTTAAAATAATTGCTATAATAATAAGATTTTAAATTAAATGGAAAAAAATTACCTGTAAGTTCATCTACGGTTTTTCCACCAGATTGTATAGCAGCAATAGCTTTATCCTGCTGAGCTAGTGGGAGAGTTCCTTGCTTAATCATATTTATAGCATTTCTTCTGGCAATTTCTAATAACTTCTTTTTATCAATCTCTATCCGTTCCCTAATAAAAATTTAATAATTAATCATATAAATTCGAGATTGTAATACAAATAATATATAGAATGTTCGGAATGTTCAACCGATAAATTTTCAGAGATTGTCGAGGATATCATAAAAATCAGAAGTTTTTGCAAATGAACATAGATTCTGACTCTAGGTTTATTTGCAAAAAATAATTCTTATGGCTCGACAATCTCTGAAAATTTGTCGGTTGAATTTCTGAATACCCTGTATACTATTTATTCTCAGGTAATTTAATGCAACTCTAACTTTCTTTCTCTGCTTCTACTTCGGCCTCGCACATGCTTATCTTTATTTCTGTTTTCACTGCGACTTCTATGTCTGTATCTTTCTCTACTCCTACCCGAATCTCGTTTTTCATAATTTTTATCACTGTCACGCCTTTCTCTGCTTCTGCCTCTCTGTTTTTCTCTTCCACCACTCCTACTGCGACGCGAATCGTGTCGCATTCGTGATCTCGATCTTTTTCTATCTTGAGAATGACAACTCCTATTTCTTTTACTATCCCTTTCTTTTATGTCTCTGTAATTGAGATTTTTTTGTGAGATTATTGTTCATACAAATCTTACTTTTTAATTATTTCTAACCTTTTCTTCTCCTTTTTTTTCAAAACCAATCTAAGATCAGTTTTTGAAGAGACTGATTTTCTTGATGGGCTAAACATTTTGTCCCTCATCTTTTCTCTACTTGGGCTAAATGATGGTGATCTGTCTTGAGGTGGAGTAGGACTTAGAGTAAGTGTCCCATTGTCATTGCTACTACTATCAGATAGCTCGCCATCTTCCATTATATACTCGCCATCTTCCATTAGTCCTTTTGCTTTTTGCTTATTTTCTATTGCTTTAACCATTTCATTATAAACAGTACTGTTCTTGAGATCCTTTATTAATATTTTTCCTTGAGAAGACTGCTTTGGCTTTTCTATTTATGAAAAAATACATTATTTATATTATATGCTCTTGTTTTTCTTTATACATTCTTATTTTACCAATAATACTGAATACACATTAAAAATCAATTTTTATAGATATTATGAATAGTAGAGACTATAAAGATTAGCAAATTAACATATACAAACCAAGAACTTTAGGTATTATTGGGTCATCAGATTCATCATCCGTTTTCTTTGATATAGGTGGTAATAAAGGACTAGCAGAACCATCCATAATTTTATCAATGATATTTGAATCTTTGTTTATAGATAGCTGATCCTCAAATTTTGTCATATCATTCATACTCTCTTGTTTTGACATAATGTCAAATAACTTTGATTCATCGTTTTTCAGAATTCCAAAATTGTCATCATCATCAAATTTTGCCAATTTGACTTTGGTCTGACCTGAGTCTGACGACTTACTCGAAACAGATTCGCGTCTTCGTTTGGATTTCTTCTTATGTTTCTTCTTTTTCTTGGTGCCTGATGTGAACAGAGATACACAATTACAGTGATATGTAATACTGAATACATACATTATTATTATTACATATATTATTACCTTCTACATCGCTGTTGCTATCCGAGGAGTTGTGTCTCGATCTTTTCTTGTGCTTCTTCTCCTTGTGCTTGTGCTTTTTCTTTTTCTTTTTCGCTAAAAGTTTATCCAACTTGGATTTGATGTCATTTGGGATTTGCTGATTTTCAGGCGAGGCGACGCCGTCATCTGGAGCATCAAAAGTGCTGAAGAGCTCCGTCAGAATCTCGTTGGACGATTTCTCGGGTAATCCAGGCTCCGATTTGATCTTGACGCCGTCGACGCCGACAGTTGTTATAAGGTTGGCGATGTCGAATAAATCTGTCATTTTGAGCAATTCTACAAAACTTTATCGTAGGAACGTGGGAGCTAATTTCATCGTTTCCTGCATCAAACCACACAAATAATTGATTAACGAAATCAATTTTAACCTAGCCTCACTGTGCATACGCTATATCAGAGAGAAGACTGAGAGATGTCATGGCCTGCTTTTAGGTGATCCCTGAAAGCGATACTCCCTCTATGGACATGGAAAACGTGGACATGAACTACAATGCCAATGTCACCTTAAGGGCCTATCCAGACAAACTTGCATAGGTGCATATGCATAACATAAGACCATATGGACCAATGAGCATCGAGTATTGTTATGTAAGTCAATATGGCGACTTAATACTCGATGCTCATTGGTCCATATGGTCTTATGTTATGCATATGCACCTATGCAAGTTTGTCAGGCCTTTAAGCTTAAGATATTAACCAATCACAGTCAAGTATGAAGAGAACTCGGCTGTGATTGGTTAATTTCTTAAAGCTTAAAGGTGCAATTTCATTGACGCTACTTTTTAGTGTCAATGAAATTGCACCTTAAGGCTTAAATTATCTATTGTAGACTCGACCTTAGGTATTTAAATTCGCGCGGAGGTATTCAGTGACATCTGTGAAGAGGAAAAAACGGCAGCGTTTAAAAGCTAACGATCTTTTTAAAAATTCTTCTTTCTCCCTTTCCCTTTCTCTAAGCCATTTAAATCACAATTGAAGCTTCGTACGTTTTCCTCGGAATCGCTGAATATTTGAAGCTTTGACCCTAAGCGACACATACGTTGGAAATTTGCTGGAAAAGCACGTGCATGAAAAGGTACGGCAATTTTATTCAATATATTTTTTCATATATTGACCACGGCATCTTCTGCGACTTTCGCTTTATTTTGATGCAACTTTTTTCAGCAATATAACACTCGAGATTGCTCGCATATAAATCATGTCGCATCTGAGATTTATGAAAGAACTCAACAATTTGACTCGAATGGACGAAACCATCAAGGGTCCCACCCCGCGATGGCAGAAAAAATGCATGGAGACGTCGAATTTAAGGTAAATGTGGATTTGTTGGTGGTATGGTTTACGTTGATAGAATATCGAAATTTTTTTCGGAGATGTAAAATTATTTACTCTGTTCATTAATAAATATTATTTTAATATATATATGTCATATATTTCAGTATCAATCTTAGTTTGAATTCATCAAAGAAAATTACAAGCAATTCTTTCACGAGTAGTGCAACAGGAAAAACTCCGACGAAGAGAAGTGATTGCAAAACCAAGAAAACTCCCTCTAAAAGCACAAGGAAATCTCCAAGTAAGATAGTATCTCTATGCAACAAATATAATAAACAGAATAAGATTTTTAAATCACTTAATAAAACAGGTCGTGTTACGCCAGCTAAAACACCTAATGGTGGTGATAGATTTATTCCTTCAAGAGCTACAACTAATTTTGAATTGAGCCATTATAAGGTATAAAAAAGTATTGAATGATTGAATTTGAACATTTCTGAATACATTGTAATACATTTGTTCTGAATTTATGATTTCTTCTCTTTTTATATTCCAGATTCTTCAGCAACAGAATGAACAGAATGGAGATAAGGCAAACATAAGTCCTACAAAACGAGAGATGCAGCGTCTCATGGGAGAAAATCTTCATGGAGGTGATATAAATAATATAAGAGTTTTATCTTATCAGGTTAAAGCACCAGCACCACCAGAGGGATATCAAAATCCTCTCAAAGTTTTGTATAGTCAAACTAAAACACCAGCTAGTGCTAGAGCTTCCACAAGATATATCCCGCAAGCTGCCGATAGGATATTAGATGCTCCAGAAATCATTGATGATTATTGTAAGTAGTTTGGTGCAGAATTTCTTATCTAATACAAAAGAGAATTAAAGAATAAAGATTTGATGTCTTATAGATTTAAATTTAGTGGACTGGTCAACCTCTAATATTTTGGCTGTTGGGTTGGGTGCTGATGTATATTTGTGGAATGCTGGGACTGGAACCATAGAACAATTATTCGAATTGGATGCAAATGATTATGTATGTTCCGTTGCGTGGATTCAAGAAGGTCCGTGCCTTGCAGTAGGCACCACAGAAGGAAATACAGAACTATGGGACTGTAGTCAGATGAGGAGAATGCGCGTTATGAACGGACACACATCCAGAGTCGGTTCTCTCGCCTGGAACTCTCACATATTGACAAGTGGATCCAGGTAATACAGATGAAATACATGAAATAAGTATACATGACTGTCGTTTTGAAGATTACATTCCAAATAATTGATCGATTTCCGAAAATAAATCAATTTTTGTAAAAATCAACAGTGATTCTGTAGAATCATTAATTATATTGATAGATATGATGAATATTTTCAAGATTAAGTATTCAAAATCTCTTAGAAAATATCATTAAAGCATATCATTAAAGTAGTGGAAGTGAATTATAATCGAAATTAAAATTGTAACTGTGAAGTTAGATCTTATTTTAATAATTAAAATTCTCTTATTATTTTAAAGATTAGGTAAAATAGTGCATCACGATGTTAGACAACGGGATCACTTGATCTCGACTATAAACGCACACGCTCAGGAAGTATGTGGCTTAAAATGGTCACTCGATGGACAGTATTTGGCTAGCGGTGGCAACGACAACATGTTGCACATTTGGCAGTCGATTACCGGGCGAAATTCTTCTCAACCTATTTATTCTTTTAACCAGCATCAAGCTGCTGTAAAAGCGCTTGCTTGGTGCCCCTGGCAAAATAACGTTCTCGCAAGTGGTGGCGGTACCGCTGACCGGACTATTAGATTTTGGAATGTCAGCACAGGCAAGCACATTTGAAAGCACATTTTGTAAATTATAGTATATGTAAAATATAGTAAATCCAACAGAGATATATTAATGAGTAAAAGAAAAATAATGAATATATAAAACAAGATAATAAATAGAATAACATGAGAAAGTTATAAGTTGATTTTTTATTTATTGCAGGTGCTTGTTTAAATGCAATAGACACAAAATCTCAAGTCTGTGCTCTATTGTGGTCTGGAAATTATAAAGAGATTATCTCAGGACATGGATATGCACAAAATCAAGTAACAATTTGGAAATATCCTTCGATGACAAAAGTCACGGATCTTATAGGGCACACGAGTCGCGTTTTGCACTTGGCCATGTCTCCGGATGGAACTACGGTGCTTAGCGCCGGTGCCGATGAAACCCTGAGATTATGGAAATGCTTTCAAATGGATCCACATAAAAAGAAAGAATCTAGTGACATAAAATCGGTTGCGTCTAGACTGAAGCAATCGATTCGATAAAATTAACGTATTGCAAAGCACGCGATTATTTTTCAGTATTTATTTTCAATAATTAATTGTATATGTATGATTGGGGTATGTAACGTAAAGAGAAATATTGACGTCGAACACATTGTTGGATATAAAAACTTTGACGCATATCTATTTTGTATAAAAATATATAGATTAATGTTAACATTTGATATCAGAAAGTTCCAGCTTACATTCGGCTACATGTACAATTAATGAAATTAGACATAAATGAATATTCTTAAATAAAATATAAAGAAACTCTTATTAACATTGAATTATTGAATCTGCAAATTGTATAACGCGGACATTATGTTTTTTACGCAGAATATAATATCTGGCATGATAATTATAGATATAGAAATAAATAAATTCTTTTTATATATATTAAATAAAAATTCATTTTTTTATGTTATCTTCTAATTAATAAATTCTTCTAATTCTTCTAATAATAAATTTTTTATTTATCATTATCTTATCATTAATCTTGAAAAATTATTAATAGAATTCCTTATAAATTTATTTAAGTTTTATATATACTATATTTGTATCCATATATTGTATGAATCTCCTTTATATATTGAAATGAAAGGTGTTTGTAGAATCCCCACTCTTTTTCTCTTTCTCTCTCTTTCTTTTACCTATGTGAGCCATGTTCAGGCTTTTATGCTACAGGTGCATTCAGGTAGTTAAAGTCAAGCTTTGAGCCTACCTTGCTACAGTTACAATGAATAAGTTACAATGAATACACATGAAGTTAATAATAATTATTACATGTATTAATAGTAATAATCATATGTATTATAATGTTGGAGATACAAAGAAGTATGATATTGTATAATATTTTTTAATACTCCAACAGAGTTCCAAAATTGTAAAATTTGCATTTGTTACAATAATTTTTAATAAATCATGAGCGAAATAGAAAACAAGAGCGTTCCATTAAAATCAAAATGTAAACATTCTAATCAATCGTACTCTACGGATGCTTGCAACGAAGATGATCACGATTGGTGGGCAAGTGATAGCGGTTCCAGCACCGGATCGTATTATTCGGATACCGACAGGTAAACCAAAATTTTAACTTAACAAGTTTAGATTAAGGTATATTTGTCAAAGATTCGATAAGATATACTCTTCCTAATTTGGGATATAATTGCAGTTCTGCGGTTGAATGGGAATCAGAAATTGGACCCAATGGAGAAGTATTTTACATAGAATCCATAGAGGAGAGTTTGTTCGAGTCTGATCATGCAACTTTGGATGATAAGAATGACAGTCCTCAACCTGAGTTGACACGTCGTCGTAGTACGAGAGCTGGTAAACTATTTCGTCTGATTAGACGTAAGGAGAGTAAGAGATGGAGCACAAGAAATAAGAGGATTAACAATAGCACTGCGTCAACTAACACAGTAGAACAAGAAAAAGGAGATGGCAGTGGAAGCAAGGAAGTCACATTTCGAGATTTCCAGGTAATGAGAATACTGGATGGTAATAAGAAAAATATATTGCAAAAACATAAAAACAAATGGTTTTTAAACATATAAGGCAGGAGAAATTCGCAAAGTTACATTGTGGATTGATCCTGAAAGAAGACATAAGTTGGGAAGAAGAGCAACCTTATGCGAAGCTTACTTTGGTATCATACCAAAGGCATTTTCGGATAAAGTGAGAGTTATGGTAGCAGGATTTATACCTGATGGTGAAGCTATGAAGAATAAAAATATTAAAATTGGGGATTGGTTACGCAGAATTAATTCAAACGATATTACTTTTCAAAATCTAGATCAGATATTATCTGAAATCATCACACCATCAAATGTAAGATTAATAAATAAAAGACAATAAAAACCTAATAAATTTGTTAAAAATCCAATTATTTAAATACATATTTAAATACATATTATCTTTAAATACATATTATTAAGTTGTAAATTTGTGTATTTTTTTCATCTCTTAAATTTTTTAAAAATTCTAAAATTTTTTATTTTTCCAGGTAATATTAGAACTGCAAAGAGTAGCTGGTGTTGATGTTGCTGGGAAACTATCAAGAATAAATGAGCCAAAGGTAATTAGTCTTTACATAAATGCAGCAGTTATAAGGAGATATTTATGATAAACAAATTTATCAATTACATCATATCTTTTAGCAATCGATATTAGCCCAATATCTAGTAAATAGAGAAAATAATAATTCCTTGATGGAATCGTTGTTGGATTATCCATTGGGCGTAATATATTTAAAAACTACAGATCTCTCGGAAGTTGGACAAGAATTGCAAGGTGTATTGTACACATTTCCACGATCCGAAATTAAAAATGTAAATTCTTCTTTATGTACTGCAAGGGGAGCTTTTATAACTCTTAATCATTTATTACCCAGTATAGTGAATCTACAACCTGTCAGGTACACACATTTGCATATAATATAATATATATATTATAAATTAAAAAATGATAATAGCTTATATTTTCTAGCACGACTATCCGCATCGGTGAAAAAGAAACACATGTTGTATACACATCTCGCGATGATGAATTGCTTTTAATAACTTTGCCCGATGAATGGTAAGTTTTGATTGAGAACATAATATATCGTATAAAAAAATGTGATACATGAAGAATCTATAATGTAAATCTTACTACCTTTTAGTTGTACTTCTCAAGAAGCTGTCAAAATTATGGAGGATATTGTCAGAACATTAGAATTTACTTATCAATCATTGACAAAGTGTTTTACTCCTATGGAAAATCACTCCTCCTTGGATCATTTCTTCATTCTATTTATACACAGATTAATAAATATCAAAGATTCTTTCAAAGATACCGACGCAAAAAAAAATTTATTAAAATCGGAAAACAGTACAGAAAATATTGAAAATTTTAAATTCAGAAGCGCCTTCTCGGTTGCAAGTTTTATACAGCTACCGAGAGATGCGCAGATTCAAATAGATGCAGCATTAAGTGAAATGGAAGCTATGGATTATAGAGATTGGGTATATTTAAAATTGAATAATTTAAATAATTTAGAAGATATACATATGTTAAAAATTATTTATATTATATTGGAAGTTTAATAAACACGTATATTTTCGTAGAACGAAGATCCTATGGATTGTCAGAGATTATATACTATATTAGGGAGTTGCATTTATCATAAATGCTATCTTTTGGGATCTCATTTATCTCATGAAGACATGATCGATGTGCATTCATTTCTGAGACACAATGGTTTATTGAATCTAGTGAATCAGGAACAAGTGAAATGTCTCGTTTTATGGAAGCAGATTTATCCTTCGTCTTGCAATCGTGGGATCATTGATGGTGGCAGTAGCGATCAATTTTTAATACCTAATGGAAAATGGTTTTTATTGGTTGTCGGATACGGACATGATTTATTAGCAGTCCTGTTGGAATCCGGAGGATGTACTGCAAGGTAAATATATATATATATATATATATATATATATATATATATATATGTGTATATATATATATATATATATATATATATATATATGTGTATATATAATGTATATGATATTACTATTACTTAAGTCTTTATTATTCTCATCCAGGTACAATGACGCAATAGGCCCGGATGTATTTTATGTAGAAGAAGCTCAAGAAACGCTAAAGCATATACAAAAAATAGGAGTCACAATCTTGGCCTCAAAATGGATTACATCTAATGCCAGACCGGAAGTAATACCATATGAGGAACACACGATGACAAAAGCGTCGTCTAGTATAACGGAGAATCTACTTGGTTTGATAAAATCATCCGACACGCAAATTATACCGCCTAAGCAAAATGTCAATCTTACTATTAATAAAAAACCACAAGAACTGCCTTCTATTTTGAAAAAACGTAGTCCTGAAGAAAGTCCTATGATCTCAGGTTCTGGTAAGTTACAATACACGTAGAAGCATAATATAAAATTAATTCAAAAATTTACTTTCTCTCCTTTATTTTACTTATTTTCTCTCCTTTTGTAAATTTTTACATTATGTATATAAAATAGTATATATGTTATAATGGAATTATTTTATGTTTCTATATTTAGTGTATTCTTTACACACTTCTGAGGATTCACTCAGTCAAGGAACAGGTGGAGTTAGTGAAATGAGTGACGAGGCAATGCCTATACTTGGAAGACGAGCAACTAGAGAAAAGATCAATTCGGCCTCGAGATATTCCGATGATAGCGATTCGGATATTGACATATATAAGGTAATTATCTTTCCAGTTAAAATAGTAATAACAGCTGATAACTTTCAAGTAATTTAAACAAAATTGCATTAAGAACAATAAATTTGTCATATATATTATACAAAAGCAGATATATCTGTTGATGTTGTTACAGAATGATAGTCACGTACTCACAATGGATATATCCAACATACGAGAGAATTTATTAAATCAAGTAGAATATTTGATACCGAAAAAGTTAACTGCTGGTGATAAGAATTATCTATATCACTATGTTCACTTAGACACAGTAGAAGGGATTCTATTATCATCGATACCAATTCAAAGTATATCAAAAGACAATAGGATTCTTGTCAACTTCAATAAATGTGTACAAGTTATTCACAGATTGTTACATAATACAGTGAGATTTAAAATGTTGAATCAAGATATAGAAAAAACTGCTATCAACAGAAGTTTAATTGCCGTAAAAGAGCATGGTGTACTATTTGAATGGGAAAATGCAACATTTTGGGTAATTGGACGCCTCTATATGAGTCCCCATCCAAAGGAATTGTATGTGTGCCATCAAGACTCTGCGCCGCAAAATTTGATCGAAATAGCTTTCCAATTACATTCATAATATTTATATTTTATACATTACATATTGGTATTTAATAATCTGTAACAGATAAATTCTATGCAAAAATTAATTTTTATTAATTAATATTTCTTTTTTATAAAATTTTATATATACATTAACATTTAGTATATTAATTTTATTTAGAATAATATAACATAATTATTTTACATCTCTATTCATCTAAAATTGATGGTGTATCTGATTCATCATCATAAGTATATGTAGAAACTGGAGGAATCTTTACACTGATACACGCACCTGCCATTTTGCTACCATAATGTCCTGCCCAAAATGATTTGTCCATTCCACCATGCAAAAAGTTAATCTTCCTCAAGCCAGCTCCATAGTTTTCAAATACATGTGATTTCTATTCACACACATAAAAAGCATATAAAAACATTACAAGTTGAAGATAAGTTGACTTTAAGGTCATTGAATAAAGCTATGAATTATTTTGAATACTCACATATAGCCATTGATTCTGTCTTTCGCCTTCTATGGTGTCACGAAATTGAAACCTGTCTAAGATTCTATTATCCTTTTCCTCACTTGCTAATAATTCAACATGGACCTCATACACTGCTGGGCAATCCCATCGACAACTATACCATTCGCTGACCTATAATATATACAATATAACTTTTATGTATTTTATTCTTTTGGAATTTTATATTTAGAGGATTTTGAATTAAATCATTCATAATTTATGATTACGATACCATTATAGGTGGCTGCAGAACATCCAAAACATACGGATGTAATCCTTCGGCCACTAAATCCACCAATTGTCTCTTGGTACAACTGTGGTAAGACGTTACAAAACAGATTTGTTTTCCCTCAAATATCGTCAATGGCATTTCTGGCACTCCGGCAGGCGGATGCTCGACCATCCAAGAATCACCGCCGTTGCTGCAAATCTCCCAATGCTTCATCTTTTGCTCGCCGGAATGGTTCTTTAACAGGTTCCTCTCGAAAGGTTTCCTCTTACATATCAAGTAGAATACATGCCAGGGCATCTCCTCGTGGCGTGGGAACGGCTTGCCGAGTGTCAGTTCCGCCTTCTTGCGCCAGATGTAATTTTGTATGACTATCCACCACCGCTTACATACCAATTGGCAATTCAACAGGGTCTTAAGATCGGCGCGACAAAAGATTTCGGCCAGTAATTCGGCTGGTATGTCTCTGCCACATATCGTGAATCCATTGTTACCCTTCTCGTCGAATATTACGCGAGAAGTAGCGAGAGTTTGGATTGTGTCCTGAGATTGTCCCATTGTTATCTCCCAGCTGCTGTCAACGAAGTGACTCAGTCGTTACTCATACGTCGTTACTATACTGGACTTGCAACATCAATGTCAATGCCGTCATTGTTTGACGTTAGATGGATCAGGGCGTTTTCGAGGAATCATAATGTATCATCCTCGCGAGCCTCGCTCCTGTTATATTACTTACAGAAACTTTACAATGTAATTTCTCGCACGTCATAAGGCGCAATGTTTTTCGGAGTCACATCAAGTTGCCGGATCGCGAGTTTGTTATTATTATGAGTACGTTAGTATGGGATTTCCGGGTGGACATGGACAATTTCCTGTAACATGACGACATAATTTAATCTATATATTTATTTATATTCGAGCATATATTTATTATAAGTCGAGCAAAATTTATCTATAAGATATGTGTAAAATTAATCAAAGTCGTTTATTTTGAATAAACGAATTGTCAAATCAAAATATAAATCGAAATTTATTAAAAAGTGTCGTTTAAAAATAATATTTATTTTTTAATAAAGAAATCGAAATATCAAAAATAGATGAAATAGATTTTTTTATTTATTAACGGTATCAATTTATGCAAAGTCACTTAATAATGTTGAATAATAAGAAATTAAATTTATTTTGCATGATTCTATATTTTATAAATGCTTTTGTTAATTTAGCTATTAAAAATATAATTGAATCTTCTTCCATTACAGAAGATGAAATAGATTTTTTAATTTATTAGCAGCTTTTTAACGGTATCAATTTATGCAAAATCACTTAATAATGTTGAATAATAAGAAATTGAATTTATTTTGCATGTTTCTATTTTATAAATGCTTTTGTTAATTTAGCTATTAAAAATATTATAATTAAATCTTCTTCCATTTATAGAAGATAAAATAGATTTTTTATTTACAGTTTCTTAACGATATTAATTTATGCAAAATCTTTTATTAATGTTTAACTCTAGTATATGCAAAAATAACAGTATTTTTAAAATAACAGATACCCTCGACATTCATTCGTATGCTATTTACTATTCGCGACGAATAATTCGCTATTTCACGGAGAATTATTCGCTACTCGCTAAATACCATTCGCAGCAAAAAATTCGCTACAAGGAAAGGCACCTTAAACTTTTGTACGTGCAAAGGCCTTTAGTGCGCAAGCGCAGAATAAGTATATTTTTTAGCAGCGATTGGTTTGTACACAAGATGGCAGTCTTTACTTCTTCCGGTTTATCCTTTTGGTTTCTGACACGCGACGTACGAAACCACGTGTTACAATGAAGGCCAAGGGGGATGTGAGTGATTTTGGCAAATTTCACATAAATTTTATAAACAAAATTGATTTTCTCTCATTCAAAGCATCAAATGTTTATCTAGAATTTACCTAAGAATAAAAAATAAAAGATTAAATCTAGATATGCGACATGACATAACCTGCAAATTTATATATTGTACCATAGATATAGTCTAAATAAATCGAATTAGAAAATAATAATTTTGTTTTTCATTTTTCTTTTAGTTGAAGGAATTCGAAGTGATAGGACGCAAGCTTCCTACCGAGAAGGAGAAAACAACTCCTCTCTACAAAATGAGAATATTCGCGCCTGATGCTATAGTGGCCAAATCCAGATTTTGGTACTTCTTGCGTCAGTTGAAAAAGTTCAAGAAATCTACCGGAGAAATAGTATCTCTCAAACAGGTATTTGTCTCGTGATACACAATGTGTCATCGTAAACATGCGTTTATCTTTTTAAAAGTATACTACACATGGCTGATTTAAATTATTTTAGATTCCAGAGAAGACACCTATAAAGATAAAAAACTTCGGAATTTGGCTAAGATACGATTCTCGATCCGGTACACATAATATGTACAGGGAATACAGGGATCTTTCTGTCAGCGGAGCTGTAACACAATGTTACAGGGACATGGGCGCCCGTCATCGCGCGCGAGCTCATTCCATACAAATCATCAAGGTGGAGATTGTAAAGGCTGCAAATTGCCGCAGACCTCAAGTAAAACAATTTCATGATTCCAAGATCAAATTTCCATTGCCTAAACGAATCCATCACAGAAGCCGTATGCCGCTATTCAGTGTACGAAAACCGCGCACTTACTTCCTATAAATATTATGTTACAATAATGTTTTACATTGTAACACTAAATATGTATTATTCAGCAGAAAATAAAAATTTGATATAACTTATGGTCATATATACTTACAATTTGATATGTATTATATATTATCTAATTATTAATATTATATCGGTCAATTGGAGAATGAGAAGTGGATTTAAATACATTGCTTTTATTTGATTCTATAGACACAGAAAAGCTGCAAATAATACATTACTTAACACATTATCAATGCATTGTTGGGGAATAACGTCTCTCTTCTTCCTTTTGTAAAAATTAATCAATACAATCTGATAGGAATCAAAAATTCTTTTTGTCATAACTTAAAATTAAACTGCATAATTTCAATTAACTTTCTACAAAATATGAAGCTATTATATACTAACGTTCTCTCTATGTCTTCAAATAAACAAGTAACGATAATAGTTAGAAAGACATGTGCAAGATCTAAATCTGGTCATATTGGGTCTAAATTGGATCATATAACTTTTCCCGTACAATCACGATTTAGAAAATAACAAATATTGTTACAAGTTTTATTTCCTTGTATAAACTATAAGAAATTTATAGATATTATAAAGACATTTTACGACCCTCTATAGATATATTGACTGCTCTTCTCGTTGATTTCATACGCTTGGTATCCATGTAGTTCTTCATATGTCTCTCGAATCGACTCATTTGCTTCTTAGTACTCTGTGCAAAGTAACAAAATATGATAATTATATATAGAGAATCAGTAATTAAAGATTTGGATATAATAACATGAAACATTTTACAAAAATGAACTTAAAAATGAATAATTTCATCAGAAGTATATGTTATAAATGAAACATATAAATCAATCTCATTTGTACTTATGATTTATAGCAATTATAGAATGCTTGTATATCTGTTGAAATATTAAAATTACAAGTTTTAATGTAATATTGTATGTATGTTAAACATTGTATACACTTTGCAATCTGAAGAACAGAAAAAAAGAGAAAAGAAGAAGATAAATAGAGGCACCTACCCTACTAATGTCAATGTCTGATTTCCAGTCAGGTCGTATAACATAATCTTTATTAGATGGTCTAGGAACTCTAGCTCTTCCCACCCACCCAGGATCTCCTGGTCTTAATGGTCTGCAAATATAAAGTAGAAAAAATTATTTATAACAATTAATGTACCACTAAATAAACAATTATTAGTAATTGTTATATACATCAATGACGTACTTAGCATCTCCTTTTAAGGCCTTATTAATATCTTGCGATTTTTGAAAGGATCCTCCATCTTCGGTTTTTCTTCGTTTATGAGGTGTTTGCTCCAGGTCCCTCTGCATTCTCTCTTCCTTTGATAATGCCTTAAAATCGGCAGATAAATTGAAAATAGGCCGCGCCCATTCATTTATCAATTTACCAGCACGCTCTTTGTTCTCTTTTGTTTCTTTTGGATGCTTATATAGATACATTACGGCCTTCCCAATACCAGATTGCTTCAACGAAGATTGATCGATTTTTGGAAACTATAAATTTATAGTATATAATAAATAAATAAATAAATAAGCAATAGTATATTAAAAGTATTCTTTTCATCTAGCATACAAAAATTTATTTTATATAATCTTGCCTCCCATAATAATTTCAGGAGATTGTCTCTGATTTTGAGAGACGGTAAGGAACGGTCAGGCATTGGCGCTAACCAATCAGTGAGAACCGCTAGTACATTGTGTTCCAAAAAGGCCAATTGTAAATCGTGTTTCTTCAATTGCGACAATACTTTTGATAACATGGCAATTTTATTTGTGGCAGGTTTATTTTGTTGATTCAATTTTCTATCCTCCTCAGCCGCATCCTTCATGTCTGATAATAATTGCGCTATAATATCATCGTTATCATTAATAATACCAATGTCTTTTCGTTTACGTCTACGGAATTGCCCTTCCTTTTTTCGTGCTAACATGCGGTCGAAGTCAGACAATGTATCATCTCTGAAAATATCAAAAATTTAATTTCATTGTTTTCATAAAATCTTTAAAAACTTTTTGGTTTTTATGCTTTCATGTTTCTTATTTTTGACGATTTTTGTTTCTTTGCTTTTTATTTTTAATAATAAAAACTTTGGAAATAAGCTATACCTCTTGTCATGCATTACAAAATATTAATTTTAAATTAAATATTATATAAAAACCAAAAAAAATTTAGATATAGATTTATATATATGCTTACATCCCACCACCAATAATTTCATCATCAGACTCTTCGTTATCCTGCTGCTCATTAATAATTTCACCATGTAATTGTTTATTTTCCTGATTTTCACCCACTCCCTCTTCGTGTGCATCATTGTCTTTTTTCTTTTCGTTTTCATCTTCATGCTCAGAATCTGATAACCCGTGTCTCGTACGTTTCTTTATTCTAGCTTCATCAGTCTCTTCTTCAGAATCTGATAATACTCTATTTCGTTTTTTAGCTACTCCTTCCGAATCTCTACTAGGACTTCTAGATTTTCTAGATCCGGAACCCGACCTAGATCTCGATCTAGATCGGGATTTCGAACGTGATGAATGTCTGGATCCAACGGCCGATCTAGATCTTGATCTTGAATGTGATCTAGAATGTGATCTCGACCGCGATCGCGATCTTGATACAGATTTTCTGGAACCTGATCTTGACCTTGAACGTGAACCTGAACGCGATCTCGAGCCAGACTTTGATCTTGAACGAGATCGCGATCTTGATCTTGATCTTGATACAGATTTTCTGGAACCCGAGCGAGATCTCGAACGAGAGGCTCTTGAAACTGAACGGGATCTTGATTTACTGGAACGCGAGCTGGATCTAGATCTAGAACGTGAATTTTTTCTCGAATGTGCTGGAGATACGGAACCTTTACGTGATCCCGACACAGATCGCGATTTACATCTCGATCCAGATTTGTGCGATCCTGATCGTGATCGTGATCTCGAACGAGAACCTTTCCTTGAACCCGATAAGGATCTAGATTTCGAACGCGATAAAGCTCGTCCCTCTTGCAACGGTGATGTCGATGTTTTCCTGGATCCGGAAGCAGATCTTGATCTAGATCTAGATTTTCTATCTATTGAATTGGAATGAGATCTAGAACGAGAACTTTTTCTTAAATCAGGAGAACCTGGCCTGGAACCATTTACGGAACGTGACTTTGATCTTGATCGCGATTGTCTAGCAGTGATTGGTGATCGATTTGGCGATGCTGAAGGTGAACGAGAACCCTTTTTCGATGCAGCTGGAGATCTTGATCTCGATCTTGAATCAGCTTTGGCTTCTTTTGGACTACCTGATCTAGATCTTGAACGAGATCTTGACTGGAAAGACTTGGGAGTAGCTGATCGAGAACGTGAATGGATCGACACTTTCGGGGAACCAGAACGCGATCGAGAAAATGATCTTGAACGAGATCGCGATTTAGAAATTGCTTGGGGCGAAGGAGACCTGGAAGATGATCGAAAGTTTGTTTTGGGCGAGTCACACTTAGATGAAGTGTCATTGGGTCTTATCGAATTTGATCTAGATCTAGAACGTGAATTATTCCTCGATGCTGCTCGAGAACTTCTGGATGAAGAGTGAGAAGAACTTCGAGATCTTGAACCTGATTTTGCAGAGTGATGCGAATGCGTTGGTGACTGTGAGCTATTTCTCGTTTCTCTAAGTGCAGGAGAATGAGATTTAGAGCGTGATCTTGATGTGCTTTTTCTATTTCCCGCTGGTGAAATAGATCTGCTTGGTGAAGGTGATCTGGATGGTGATCTAGAATAAGATTTTCTAGAGCTTGCATTGGAACGAACAGAAGCTGGCGATCCATTCCGTATTGGGGATGACAGATTAGATCTAAAATATTTAGTTGTAGTTAATAGAAAAAAATAAAAGAGATTAAATATAGAGATTAAATATAGATATAAGATTAAATATAAAGTATGATCAAAATTAGTTATTACCTAGCTGCTGAAGATTTGGGACTAGCAGAATTTGATTTCGATCTGCTTCTTGCTATATTACTACCTGACTTTTGTGAATCCGGAGTAGCACTTCTAGACTTATCTTGTTCTTCTTCCGAGTCGCTTCTTTCGTCTTAAAAAAAAAAACATTCTAGATTTATAGAATCTCCAATATGCAAAATAATGTATTACATAATATATACCACATAATATATACTACATAATATACTACATAATATACTACACAATATATACTACATAAGTACTATATTTTTTAATCCTGTGATTTAAATATTATATATTGAATAAAGAGAATATAAATTGTATAAAATATAGATATATCTAAATTACAAAAATATATTTGGACATTAGATGTCTTTATATTTTATTTTTTAATATTTTTTTTGTATATATTTAATAGTAAACAAAAAATGTCTGGAATAATACTAATAATACTAGAAAAAGGCAATATAAACAATGATTCCCTCACCTTCAAAAGCCATGGCATCTATATTTAAATATATCCTAAAGTCTAGCTATTATCACTATGGCTAATAATAATATCGTAATAATCATCAAATAAACATGTTTCTCTATTTATAACAAGTATCTTAATATCGCTTAAATTGCACAAAAACGTAATTTATGTTTCCTTCTTTATGTTATACTTTATATTATACTAATTTGATATATAATACTGTGTTTTTTCGCACAAACAACTTCTTTTTTAAGATATTTGATAAATTACGAGTAATACACGCTTTTCAGTTATAGAAGAGAATTCATTCAACGCATCACTGTTCTGGAATGTTCGGTATATTTTAACAGCGTTTAGTCACTAGAAAGTCACTACATACATTTAATTTTTACGAACACATTGGATATCCCGATCAGCCAATCAGAATTAAAATTAGACCATAAATTTATTAAATATAGATAGATAAATGGGGTTAAGCATTTTTTTTCGTACATGTACAGTCGAGAGAATCATACGAATGCGCATGCGTAAGGAAGAAAAATTTTATATTTATAATCATATCTCACAGCATTTCTAATAATTTACTGTCATATTGATGATTCATAAAAAGCTAGCAATTTTGAAAGTGTTGGAATTGGTTAAATATTTAAAAAATTACAAATGTTAAAGTTATTGTTTCTTTTTTGTTTACAAAATTCGTAAAATATATATATATATATATATATATATATATATATATATATATATATATAATATATTTCGATATAATTTTGTCTTCAAATCTGAAATATCACAATTTTGGAGAATTAAAATTATTTAAAATGTTTAAATTTTTAACAAAAATTTATTAAAAAATGTTATTTCATTCTCTACATGATTATTTATTAAATTATTATTAGCAATTGTAATTTTATTTTTCTAGGAAAGTATATATTTTAAAATACTTTTATTATCTACATAATTATTTATTAAATTGTTATATTATTATTAACAATTATTATTTTATTTTTTTATGGAAAGTGTTTATTTTAAGACATCTCATACAGCACAGACCATTGTTCTTACATAGCAGCAATATTGCGGCAATATTAAATAAGCTGTTTTATAAAATTTGATTATCCGGAATAAGGCCCAGTTCCACAATCCAGTTAATCCGAGTTTAAGTAGTGAATGGACCAATCAGGACCCAGTTTAACGTATTAAACTCCGATTAACTCGAGTTGTGGAACCAGGCCTAAAAGAAGCTGAAAAAATGTTACTATGCTGTTTCGTCAAATTTCAACGATTTCACGGATACGGATGCGTCTCTAGGTATTTCTCGTTTCGTGGTCGTCGTCACGGAGATTGCCGATGTCGAACGAGTCGTGACGAAGTGCGGTGCCGAGGGCGCACTATGGCGGCTGTGGTGAAATTTTCGCCGTCTGCGTGAAACAGAGAAAGAAAGAGAGAGAGAAAGAGAGAAAGAAAGGTAGAGAGAGAGAAAGAAAGAGAGCGATCTCGTTGTCGCGAGTCGCGATCGGTATTTGGCGCGGTCGCCGATCCGCGAGACTTCTCCGGGGAGCAGGCTTCGTCGAGGGGGAAACCGAAAGTCAAGTAACGTCACGAATTCGTACGCGTTCCGCGACGGCAACGGCGGCCCCGATGCGGGTCGCGCGCGCTCGTCTCAGGGCAAATGATGACTTCGATGTTGCCCAGCTTTAACCCGCCTATCGTCAAGCGGCTGCTGGGCTGGAAGAAGGCCGAGAGCGAGGACAAATGGAGCGAGAAGGCCGTTAAGAGCCTGGTGAAGAAGCTCAAGAAGTCGGCGGGCCTCGAGGAGCTCGAGAAGGCCATCACTACGCAAAGTTGCAACACCAAGTGCATCACTATACCGAGGTATGCCTGCACAAATACCTGCACCTGACGTACCTGGGGCGTTCGCGATATACGTTGTACGCAATTTTTAGAATTTTTAGGAAAAGCGTGCGAGAGGTAGAGCACCTCCGATAGGGAATGAGAGAGAAAGAAGGAGCGAGATGAGCGGGAGAAGAAAAGAAAGCTCGCGCGCGCGCGCGGGTCGCGTACGCGCCCCGCATGTGTGTGTGCGTGTGTGCATCGTGTTTATGTGTGCGTCGCCCCGCATCTGTAAAGACGCACGTTCATCGCGCGTATGACGTTGGCACTTGTCCGTTCTTATTAGAGATCGCCGCTCTCACACACGTAACCCGTGCGTGCCGGGATTCATATACATATATATACAATATATATATATATATATATATATATATATATATATGTGTGTGTGCGTGTGTGTGTACGCGCGCGTTTGCTATTGAGATGATAAGCGGCGAGATGCTCGGTACGTGACACGCACGTGAGAGGTCGTCGCGTATATTCCTCTATCTACGATGGGCCACGGATGGATGCGCGTGAGACAACGTCACGTTTAGGCCGGTCGAGGCGATAACGCGGCCACAGGTAAACATCGCCCCCGCGGCCACGTGCGGGGAGCATATGTGGAACACGCGAGCAAGGGTTACGAGTTGCGTTCTCGTGAGTATAACAAGATACGGGGAATATCAAAATTCGAGAATGTGTTTGTTCAGTTTGTGTCAGTCTCTACTCCGGGATTTTCGCGCGATCGAATTCATTTTCTTCAATTCAATCGAAAATGGAGAACAATGTCTAGTTTAATTCTATTTTTAATATTGTTTTCGTCAAGCATTTAATTTGCTCGTATATTCTTTGTTTATGTAGAAATGATAATAATAATAATATAATAATTTATGACAATAATAATAGTAATAGTAATAGTAATAATAATAATAGTAGTAGTAGTAATATAATAATAATAGTAATAGTAATAATAGTAATAATAATAATGATAGTAGTAGTAGTAATATAATAATAATAGTAATAGAAATAATTTGATAAAAATAAATAATAATAAATTTGATGCTAATAATAATAATAGTAATAATACTAGTTTTTGTTACAAAATACAGTATTTGACAATAGTGTACTAAGAATAGACGGAACTAGCGCATTGATAAAATATCCAATCTCGATAATAACTCAGGAATGATTTTTAGTCTGCTCCGCGATTTTGCGAGATGTTACTAATTAATTTTCTTAAATTCAGCACTCAAAAGTGGAGCATCGATTCATTTAATTTCTATCTTTGACGTTTAATTCCATCGAATTTGTTCGTACATCCTCCATTTGTATACAGAAATTTAATAATAATAATAATAATACTTTTTCCTTGCACAAAAGATAATACTTGACAATAGTATACTAACAACAGACGGAACCAGCGCACTGATAAAATATCAATAATAGCAATAATAAATTAGTAACACAATTTAATATAATTAATTGCGTATATTTGATTAATATATTTAATATATTTAATATATTTATATTATATTAATATATTATAACGACATACATCGAATGAAAAAAATTCAAATCTTATGTCAGCACGTGATTATTGCGTACTATACATATGCTTGTTATCGATAAAGATTCGTTCTATTCAATTCGATTAGGAATCGTTCCGAGTGCGACGATGACGCAAATGCGATCTCCTTAGTTCGCATTCAAAGGAACTCCAAATGCGTTCGTCGTTGCGTAGGCGAAGAGGCATTTATCAATCGCTCGCGAAATGTTATAATCGTGTGTACGAGAAGCGCGAAGTGTTTTCTTTTCCTCGCTCTCTAAGAATGTTTTCGAAGTTGAAATAATCACGTGCGCCGAGTAATCTTTTAATCCCCGGTGAATAAGTTTTAACGAACTCGATTGCGCTCTTTCCTAGTATTCGATTAATATTATCTTCCATCCTCTGGTGCATCCTGAGTGCCGGAAAGCTGCTGTAAAAGACGCTAATTAATGTTTTTAAAGTTTTTTTACAGATAATTTTTTAAAATTCAAATATTAATTATTCATTAAATTACGATTATTAATTAAATAATGTGCGTTTTTCTTATTAATTAAACATCTTTTTAAAGTTCTTTCCAGATAATTTCTAATAAAATTCAAGAGTAATACGGCTATTAATTAAATAAAGTTTCTCTTTACCAGATATTTGTATTTGTATTCGCTTGGTCAGGCTTTTCAAACGCAAACAGAGAGAGAGATACTGTCCTGTAAAAGTAAGTGGGCGGTATATTAGTACATTGTTCGGGACAACGAAGCGTATAAATGATCAGGCTCTTCAGCGCGCTTTTCCCAGTTCGTTTCACGTCACGGGATAAATAGTAATTAATTCACGCAACAGTCGTTTTAATTCCGTCAGGCCTCGTGTTGCAGACGAACGATCATACGTGCTTTTTCTCCCTCAGCTTTCCGGCAAAAAAGTAAATCATTAACAACAGACAAATATTAACAAGAGAAAATATTAACAAGAGAATTATTCAGAAAATACACAGCTTTGTCAAATCAAGAAATTAATGAAAAATTAATCGACATTACCTCAGTTGTTTGAAAAGAAACTTTTATTACTTTTTATTACTTTTATTAAATAAAATTTTATATAAAGTAAAAAAATAATCTTTTTAAAATATTTAAAAAAATAAAAAGCTACTTTTTGCATAAATAAATGAAAAATCAATGAAAAATTTAATAATTCTAATTAATATTAATTTAAAACTCTTAGAAGAACAAATAAGCCGATAATTAAAAAATAAAGAATTTTTTTACGGATCAGCAGATATGAGTTTTGATTAATTAAAGATAATTATGAAACTATCGTGTAGTAAAATGATGGACAGTTGGAATAAAAAAGATGCCAGGTGAAGTTAGCCAGGTGTAAAATGCCCTCCTACTAACTGATCATGGAGTGTGAAAAAATGGAATTGTCGCAAACTCAATTATCGAGATAAGAATCTTGATTAGTAGTCAGTTTCGTTATTTTTTGCGCGAAACAAAGCGTAACAAGACAAGGAGTGATAATCAACTAATAGCGACGAGATATTTAACTGCGATATCTTATCTCGTGAAATGTGTTTCTTTGCAAATTGCGTTGTCTATTTTCTAATAGTGCGTAATAGATTTTAACGATTTTTATTTTCTCTGAATTTCCCTAATCGATAAATCACGTAGTATTTATTATTTATTATTTTATCTTATATACACGCAAAAAAACTTCAATTTTAAATCAAGTAAACATACCAGCGGTATCATATACGTTTGCAAAAATTAAACGTAGCTTCGTTTATCCCTGCGGAATATACTATAAAATGTGCAGGGAATATGAAAAGCACAATAATACAAAATTAATATCGTATCTCACAGTATTTAATTGTTGCAATTACACTTTATATTATTACTGATTACATGAAATATTCACTGGTATATCCTGAACGTTAACGTTAAATTTGAAATATAATTATGAAATATGAATAATTACGAGCTTATGTCATTATAATTGTCACCAATTATTGATGATTGCAGAATATTTAATTTCCATGTACATTGATATAAATCTCTATTACAAAAGGCATTATTAAAAATTGATTTTGTTTAAAAAAATCTAATATTATTTCACGACGCATCTCCTTACGATCTAACTAGGACTCGAGGTTGAAAAAATATCTATAAATTATAACTTGTAATTATTATTACAAGTTTTATTTGCGCGTGTGTCCGCGCACAGATTATTACAATAATTACACATCTACGCAAATAATCATAACTGCAAATCGATTAGATTATTCGATATATCGTCTCATTATAAATAAGGATTCTGTTCTGTCACGTATACGCATCCTTGCGAACGAGCATAAGATAATTTATATAGATATACTTGATAAGTCAGAATCCTTTGTTCTTCTTTGACATTTCCAATCCTCGAACACGAGGAAATTTATTATTATTTATTTAAATTATTATTATTGTTATTTTTATTATTACTATTATTATTTATTATTATTATTTATTTATTATTATTATTAATTTATTTATTATGATTATTATTCGTTTATTTAAATTATTATTATTTATTTATTTAAATTATTATTATTATTTATTTATTTAAATTTATTATTTATTATTATTTATTATTATTATTACTTTTTCATATTTTCAATATTTATTGGCCAAGTCTTGATCTATCTTGCAGTCTTCAGTACTGAATTAGAATTCATCGACGATTTGATTAATTTCTCGGCTGAATTTTTAAGCAATTCTCGTTAAGGAGGATTAGATCCAGACTCTCTCTCGAAGGATCCCGTACACATCGGAATGATATATGTGGCGCTTCACTCGTGTACATCGTATATATATCTATACAGTCGTAGCCATTATACGGGAATCGATTGCGGCGTGCGTGCCGCATGACAACTTTATTAATAGTTAGTAGTCCTGGCCGGCCGAGGCGCGATGACGAGCCTCTCCTCGGCCAAGGATATCCGGTAGCGGGAGAGGGAGAGCCGCGAGCGAATCCTTTTCACCGAGTCGAGTCGCGCGAGGCCGCGCGAACGGAACGCGCGCGTTTCCGTCTCTTCCGAGACTTTTCGCGAGCTGTCGCGATTTCGCGAGGGACGAGCGTGAGAAAAACCCGTGAAAAAAAATCTTGAATGCGCGAGGAAGAAAAAAATCGCAAGGATCTTGCGACTGGTGTTTCCGATGATGCGAAGATGTTGGGTCGAGACGACAGGAAGGGAAAGGGTCAGAAGAGGCGAGCTGTCAAATAAGGCGATCGAGTGATTTCGCAGCAATTTGTTCCGCAGCCAACACGGTGAAGTGCTACACGTGCGTGAGTCGAACCCTTGTACGTCGTTACGTCTCAAAAAGCGACGAATTGTTCGGGAGTGAAGAGCCAAGTCAGAGCTCATCAACGTTTATCGCGAATAGAGTTCGTAAAAAAGATTTTTGCTGATGTTCTCCGCGCAATT